GTAGAAATAACCGTCACCTCGTTTTGTTTGGAGGTACTCCGAAAACATAAAACTATGGATGGAAATCGGAAAAGAATAAATAAAGCATTGATATTTTCTTCTAACACAGCTTGGTCATAAGTCTATAAATCCAGATTGTTCAAGACAAAATACAAGCATTATTTTCTGATGATATATCTTTAAACACAGTTCAATGTGCTATTGTAACATTTTTGACAAATTATTCAAGCGTATACCCATTTGACTGAATAAATAATAGCCTCGCAGCAGCGAAACTTAATTTGGGCGTGAGTACTGCGTACTAATATGCAGATTTTTCAACATTCGACATTAGTTCTTAGATTGGTCAGTCAATGTGTACGAGTCGAATTTGTAATTAATTTGTTGATTTATGTATGGTGAACTGAATGATAAACAATGATTTTGGAATGAAAAAAAGTGATAAATTATGGTTCAAAATGAATATACATGTAATTGAAAGGTGACTTGGTCTATTCCCTAGCACTCTAATTTTCCTTTGCATGTTTCGATGTTTAAAATAAATTCGATATCGTCGACTGTCGTGCTAATATTCGCTTATAGATTTTAACGATAATTTTTGTTTTTGTTCTATTGTTTTGGTTGATTAGAATTTGTCATTGATTATAAGTATTATCCGTGTTAATGTGATAATGCAGTTTATCTAGACAATTATGTACATATTAGGGAGATAAGTCGTAAGGTCTTATAAAACGCAACTCACAATATGCCTCCTGTTTAGTTTAAAGATCAGAGTTAATGATAGCGCACACATCATCGTCTATGTCATATATTCAGGAGCATTTGGCCCAGTCTGTTTTTTCAGATGAATAGAAGTTGAAACGACCTACAAATGAAACAGTTTACTAACTCCAGTTCGTTAGACAGCCGACAAAAAATCATTGAGGATTGCCCATGGCAGAATTTTCGACGCAGTTTTTTATTAATTTAGAATAATTAAATTTAAGTAAAAGAAAGAAATAAAACGTTATGTTAAATAGTTTTTGTGATTCAATCATAACAGCTATATCTAGCCGTAATTATTAATTCGGAGATCGATCATTCAATCTGCCATTTGACTTGTTGTGTACTAGTCGAACTTTACATTGATTTGAAGATTTATGTATGCTAAACTGAATGTTCAAAAATAAAAAAATAAATGTTCAAAGTAATTACGTTAAAATGTGTATTGCATTAGTTTTAAAGTATTTAATTAGTTTCAGTTTCATATCAAAGGAAATAGATACCACTCTGGTAAATTCACATTCTGTCACTCAATTTCAGGATCATAACTCGTACCATATTGTTTATTTTATCTCCAAAATTTTCAATTAATTTTAAATGTATAAAGAATAAACTGCGATCCGGCACAGGATTTTATGTATCACATTTAATCGAGTTTTATAAAAAAACACATTAACTCATGGGATTTATAATTAGCACGCACTTTTCGGATAGTTTATATTTTCACTTCATGCATTTTTGGTTTTATAATAGTGTCGTGAGATTAAATTAGTTGTAAATGTAAGTGAAAATATTTGACATCTTTAATCAACACATTAAAGGTCAAAAAAATCTATAATTATTAACTTTTTATTTAGCAAAAGCTTTTTATTTTTGGTTCCGGATTGCAGTTTAAAAAAAATCGTCATCTATCTTACCTACTTTTGCTTTTTTTAAATTTTGCAAGTAAATATAGTTATCAAATTTATGCATCTTGTATGGATGTAAATATTCAACATTGATTGTATTTTGCTACCTTTATCACAAATTGTTTCACATTCAACGATCTTTACATTCAAACACCTTAACTTTTTGCCCTTTTTTAGAAAGAAAAATACTCATTTCTTAGACATAATGTGCCATTAATATAATATTACATATAAATACATAAGATCCCTTCAAATAAGAAACTTTCAAAATGTACTGTATGAACAATATATAATCAAAAATGTAAATTCAACAAGTCCATGGTCATTTATGTAAAATATAGACAATGCTTTGATCATCTTTGGCTACTTTCCCTTCGGGCTACAAATTTCTTCCTCCTGGTTTCCCTTTACCTTGTCAGTCGCCCCCGAACGCATGTCTTAGCATGTTTCACTTTAACAATACCTAGGGCACAATTTTTGAATATTTTGAAATAGTCTTAAAACATTTGTTACAGACAGAACATATTTCAAGTTGGAACTTTTCGACTTCGTGAATTCACAATTTCAACTTCATTAATTAAAACCTTCCTGATTTTGCAGCAGCGGCACTAAAGATTTTCGTGATTTTATCAAGATACACAGCTGCATTCATCAGTTTGACACCTATCGAAATTAAACAAATATTGAAGTTAAAACTAATAAAATTCTTTGTTGGAGGGACAATTATGTTTATGCTATATTCAACAAAAGTAGAAAATTTAAGATTGAATCTCCGATGGATTTATTCATTTTAATTTAACCATTATTATTATTGTTATTATTATTATTATTATTATTATTATTATTATCATTATTATTACTATTATTATTATTATTATGCAATTGCGCTATAAGTTCATTGTAACTCACCATTATCAGGTTTGATATCGTAAGGGACTTCTTCATTATTCAATCTGATCTTATACACTTACTATTTTGCAAAAAAGTTTAAGAACACCGGTGTAATACCGAATGCACGCACTATGGGCTGCTGTTATGTTCGTTTTCTTTTCCCACCAGTAACCTGAATATTCTCTCATGACCATAACAGTTTTGCTGTGATTAAAAACTTGGTAGGGTATACAATTTTCAGTCTTTCGAAAGAATAAATCGTATATCATGTTATAGTCTGATTTTATTGACCTGTCAGTTAAGAATACATTATTTAGATATTCGACCCCACTTTGGTTATATCCGTAAAATTTACGAGAATTAATATGCAGTATATAACTAATCTTTTGAAAAGACACACTAGCTTCATGTATAGTGTTTTGTCACATCAGCAATATCAAAGTCAGTTAATTGATTACCTTTTATCTGATAGGTCTATGGTTCGATCAATACTTTCACCATTACTTTAGGCCTATTCTTTCTTTATTTTTTAATATATTGTGATTATAATGGCCAAAAGCTTTCAAAATTGTTTGAACAAAAATGAAACAACTTAAGTATCGGTGATTTGTCTCATTTTTGTATTGTTTTTACGGCACTGAAATGACACATGTTGATTCTAATTCCAATGGTTTTTAAATATTACTTCTTAAATTGAGCCTTGACACGAAATTTTCAACAGAGTAGTCAAATTACTTAACGTTAATTCAAAGTTTACGCATATTTTTAAATTACACGACGCGCACCTTTCCATTCAGAACCGTGCATTTTTTAAAAGTTGAGGACATCAGTTGACTTTAAGCAAACAAAAAATTGTTATTGCACTGCAATAATAAAATTGATAAACCACAATGATGACGGTTTCCTCAGATGGAAATGACTCATTCTTTGCAGCCTGAAGGTTAAGTACATACTGTGCTTACTGATATACTTGTTATGGTAACCTTAAACCTGCTACAAAACACTCGCTGAATCGTGATCTTACGTACAAAGACATAAAATTTCAAGGAAAATATGAGCTGACAAATCTAACTCCATCTATAAAAACGACCTTTGACACTAGCAACATAAAACACGTTCAGGGCTTATGTACTAATATAACAATGAAACAGTAATAGAGAGTTAACTCAAAAATCATAATTCAAATTGAGTAAAAGCGCATTTCAAGCTGGAGTTTAATTTCGTGCCAGCTCGAAGATCGCAATTCAAAAATTTCAAAGGCAGAATTTTGAACTGGATTTGAATTTCGAGCCAGCTCGAAGATCAAAATGCAAAAATGTCAAAACCTGAATTTAAAGTTTAAGTTGACTTTCCAGCAAACTCAGTTAATATGGTACTATATGAACGGATACTTGCATGCATTACCCGCCCAAATGTTGCATGACTTACTTCATTGAATGACACGTCATCAAAACAATTTGTAAAGACTTCTCTTTTTGTCAAATGAACAATCCGCCACATAAGCTCAATAGGTAGGGCGTTGGACTGTGAATCGGGCGACCCGAGTTTGATTCCCGCATTCAACTATTCTTCTATCCTATCAAAATAAAAAAAAATCGAAAAAGAAACATAAAAACGCAAGCACTGGGTTATTTGGATAATTTGGAACTACAAGCTAAGGTTAAGTGTTGCTTAGCTTAATCAATATTTTAAGTATGTAACGGTCAAAGCTTAAAACAAACGTGATAATCAATATCAAACCCGACAAAAAGTCCTATTATTAAATCTTCCAGTTTTGAACAATATACATGTACATAACTTAACTTAATACAAATAATTCAAAATATTTAACTCGATACGACAACGCAACACAATATAATATCTTGAGAAGCATAATATTTTTAGTTAAGATCTACCATTTTTAGAATCATATATTTATGTTTATATGAATACTCTTTTTATAATGTAGAATAATATAGCTTTTCCTTTTCTTTTACATACAGACAACAACAGATAAATCAGCAGCTCCTTGAAACACAGGGCTGATAAGCTGGTAGATCAATCCTTTTATTATTGATATACTATTCATGAATTTGGTATTTTCTAAGGCCCATTAGGCCTATGACATACATGACGAGTATGTAATCCATGTGTTTTTAAAGTTAGGACAATAGCATGAAAAATTTGAAAAAGGACGTAATTGTAGACATGTTTTAATTGATACTGATCGTGAGTTATATTAGAAAGTGTGACTTTCTCTGGTAAAGTTTCAGGTAATCTTCATGCATAATTTATAATGCATATTTACGTTTATTCAATTTTACACAAAAAAAATCACGAAAACTCAATTAGTGGATTGCTTTGCCTCATTGCTTAACTTGAATTTCCTTAAGATTTAATTTTGTATTATGCTGAAAAATATTTAACCATGATGTACATTATTATTATCATCTATTTTAGCAGGTGAAAATGACGATACTAATGACACCAGAAACGAAACCGAAAATAACAATGAAAATGACAAGGCTCTTGTTGCTGCGATATCTGTTGGTTTGCTTCTAGCTGCAGGAAATTTGATTATTTGTATTTGGATCAGGAGGTAATCAATAAATACAGTTCAAATATATTGTTAAGATTCAACTTAATAACATACACACAAAAGCGAAAACAATTTAATCCGTACAAGAAAGCGTATTTTATTAAGATTATTATTAAAATTTCCTCTATATACAACATCTTTACAAAATGTTAGCTAAAGTTTCCATTGTCGCGATACTCTATCAATAAATGGCTTACATGTCCTCAAAACGAAATTGTTAAAGTGCTTTAAAACTTTCGCCGATATGAGTTATATACATTCTTCAAACAAGAATAGCATTGTCACAAAATAAACCCGTCATTAAATCTTTAGGCGGAGAAGTAGGCGATAAGGAGTGTGACGAGCAAGGTCAACCCCACACACATTTCCGTCTGAATTATTTTTCTTCTTTTGTGACTTTGACCTTGGTTGCAATGATCGCAATCTTATGTGCGCAACACTCCCCCTCGCAATGATGAAAATGTGTACCAAATTATATAAAGTTCCCTCAATGCATGCATAAGTTTTGCTCTGAACAAACACTTTTCAAAGAGATCTAAGTTAGACCTTGACATTTGAACTTGGTTGAGACTATGTTCATGAAAGTCGATTACCAATTGTATAGAGTAATATTAACATTACTCCAAGCATATGCTCAGGTGTATAATTATCTTTAATGCCCCTGACCTTGAAACTATTAACATAAACTACATTTTTACACCTAAAGTAGTGAAAGTACCATTTGTTTTACTATTCCTCAAAATGTGACGATGGGTAAATGGTCCCTTAACACATCGTCACATTTTATCTAAAACTTTGACCTATATATGTGTGACCTTCACTTTGTTCGCAGGGACCTTCATTTTAAATATTTCTCTATGGGTGTAGCAGATATACTCAAGACATTGTCTGGACAATTCATATTTTTTAGTGACCTTGTCTTTGCATATAGTGACTGTTATTATAAGTGTCACATCCGTAGGTCCGTAGGTATGACTTAACCATTTGTGTTACAATCCTTCAATAAATGACAATTACATGGTCCCCATATACATCTTTATATTTTTCAGAAATTTGACCGCCTTGCAATGGTTAAAATTTGTGACAAGTTATATTGAAATTCTTTTATACATGTAATTCCCAATTTTCTGTTCGGTGACTTCTGGATGCTCTAGTGACTGAATTATGCAGAGGCTGTGTGGTGTAAACTTGTCTTTTCTTGTTTATCTTTATACTCTTTTTTCAAATTTTTGGCATTTGTTCAAGAGATCTGCATTATATTTCTATGAAGGTTCACACAATCTTCCATATGTGTAGGAGATATGCTTTGGACAAAATCGGACCCAGCCCACAAGGTCATCTGTCATGTAATACAACGTGTATAGCGCCGATGCCTGACTGGTTAAAGCCGTTATCTTCTAAAAATGTGCGCCATCGCTGTGGGTTCGAATCCCGAAAAGGATTTTTGATTATTTCATGTGAGAAGTTATCCAACTAGCTTAAAATACGCCAGTGGTTCTACTCAGATGCGCGTTCAAGCCTGAAATAGTGCACGGAAGGACACTTGAGATTTTCCTCCACCAGTAAAGCTTGAATGCGCCATATGAACTACACAGTGTTGGCGTCACATAAAACCAAATCATAGATACAAACATCAAACAAGCTTACAAGTATCAAAGAAACACCGACAAATATCCACTGAAATCCCAATTTTAGCAAATTTAAACAAATTTTATGCTAAAAGTATTTTAGAAACACCGACAAATCTACTGAATTTTAAGGTGTTGAATTAGCCATATTTATCATAGTTCTTTATCGAATTCTAACAGATTTACCTTTTAATATATTTTCAGGCGAAAACATGATAGACAACAGCAAGACACGCTTCCAGAAACCCCGGCATCAGATAATTCAGCAGCATCCGACGACCCGTACAATTATGCTGAGATGGATCTCCAGGATTCATCAGAAAATTGCACACAACAATCCACTGAAAGAAAACCTATACCAATAAAAGAATGTGCAATGATACGAAAGCTTCCAGAATCTCAACAACAGATTATTTAACAGTAACAAACAATGCTGACAACTACAATGAAATAGAACTTAAGGATCCACCAAGCAGTCTGGAAGCTGGAATCAAATGCTCTGAAACGAAGTCTAAATTTCAATACGATTATGCATATTCTCTTCAATCTCAAAACCAAATAAACAATGCCAGTTATAATTATATTGAATTCAACAGTGACGGAACTACGACAGAAATACCTGTACAAGTTAGCTCTGATATTTAAAATCGTAGCCTCTTGGACATTATGTCATCTCTCTTATATGTTAAGTTTGTTATTTGATTTGATGTTAGAAGTCGGTTGATTGAGATGTGCACGTGTGTTCTTGTTTGATTATAAGTATGGACTGTACTGCAGCCTGATGGACATAATATGTCATCGTAATTCATACTCGTTCTTAAATGTTAATATTAAGTATTTTAGTTTGATTTGATGAAAGTAGTCGGTGTGCCAAGCGCCTCATCCCTTGTAGGGTGTCTACCGACCAAGTATTTGATATGGTTTATTATCATTGTATTGTTAGTATTAGTTTCGTTCTTAGTCGGTGAATTAAGCGTTATATCACTAGTTGGGTGACTACTTTCTTCACATGATACATAAGGGATTAAAAAAGTTTATACTCAGTATGTTACTTTTATCTTGACTGTTGTTAAATTCTACCAACCCAAGTTTTCTTGGACCTCTTAACAAGACGATTACATGCGTGTATTTAACTATTATATTTTTTGTAAATTTTGAAATTAAATATATAAGATTAAATTCATAGTTGTATATTCAATTTACATAATAATTATATACATATATATCGGACCACTGTCTGTCTATACAAATAAAAATTTTTGTGACGTACAAGTATGTAGCAATTCAGTGACCCTCAAAAAAAGAACAGAAATAAATCTTTTTAATGCCAACTTAGCGTGTCTGTCCAAATATGTGTCTATATTTATGGGGAAGTTGCATATTAAACCCTGTCCTGCTTAGTTCCACACTGATAGACGATTCCTTGGCATTTCAATCCCATTTTATAAAGTAACGACCTTTAAAGTGATACTTTATGTTATGATACATGTATCCATAGTAACTTAAATCTTATTTGTATTTTTTATAAATTTGAGAATCGCACCAGCTATTTCAAACGGTGGATCCAAGAGTTGTTTTTATTGATACTATTTCAAATTGTCTGGTTCATCACACGCGGGACAATTTTTATCGGCGGAAATAGTTGCTTGATTTTTAGAGAGGCCGACATTGACTGATATTAGGACACTTAAACCATCTGTAAATATTTCTGTTTTATCAATTTTTTCCTTCTTATTATTTCTATTGCTTGGTTAATAGGCTGCTGTCGTTTCACATGTATTAATATAAGAGTATTTGTTATATTTTATTTTATATTCTTGAATCATTACTCCATTTTTGTCATATTCTATAATTCCTGCACCTGCTAAACCAGCATCCGGGTTTTTACTTTCATCGGTATAAATATGATAATTGTCCATATAATTCTTACTTTTATGTATGTTAGAGCTAGCTGTGACTAGACTTTCTGTATTTATGTTACCTTTACTTATTTTGCTAGTTTAAGGATAAATCAATGTTAACTGGCGATATTTCAGTTTTTTTTAGCTATTTAGCTTAGAATATCTAAACTTTGTTGTTACGTTTTTTTAAGATAATTACTATTATTACCCCTCATTTTTTATGAAGTGTTAATTTCCGAAAGACCACTGGAAATTATTGATACTGTTAATGCAAGTGTACCACCTGACTATGAAATTTGTACTGTTGCAGGGTATTGTTTGATTTTATTAACCTGTCAATTGCATACTGATTATACGATCAATGAACACAATATATTAGTCTTCGACAAATGTCTGGTAAATTTCGTGAGATGTGAGTAGTAAAATGTGATTTAATTCAAATTTTCAACGAAATAAATACACTGAACATTACAGCACAATATGATAAACTGCAGTTTTACAATTTCTAAATGTCCTACATGTTGTAAGATCGAGACCGCGTGTGTCCATATATTCTTTTTATAACAATTTTCAACATTATTGAAGCTATGATGTTTTATGTTGTCTTTTTGTTTTATAATATATTTTGAACCTATTTTGGTAAAGACTATTCCTTTTCTTAATAACATAGTTAAATAAATAATATTTAAAATTCATTCGGATTAAAATCAATAAATGTCATTTCAGTGCCGTAAAATACAATACAAAATTAGACAAATAAGTGTTTCTAAATTGTTCCATATTCGTGTAGACAACTTTGCAAGCCTTTGGCCATTAAAATATACTTAAAAATAAAGAATGAAAAGTTCTAAAAAAACAAAAGCGGGGATGTACGTAAAATTAATGTTCGAACTTCTCCAATTATTGATGTGTGAGGTACATTTTTGCTTGTCATTGTTCGCCATTTATACCATGCTTGTAATGCCATCATGGGCATATTGCCTAATGGAATAACTATAAATTGGTAAATTTTCAACTTACTAAGAAAAGATTGCATCGAGAATACTAAGAATAGCTTTGACAAAACTGTGTATTTCAGCTCATAATCTTAGAAAAAAGACAGGTAGATATTCATGTGAAAGAATAGATCGTAATTTGAGATATTGTTTAATTTGCAATACAAATGAAATTGAGGATGATGAGTTCAATTTTGTGTTTAAATGTCTTGCATCTGGAAATTTTAAAAATATATATATTAAAAATTATTATAGAAATAGACCAAGTATGTTTATGTTTACTCAATTATTACAAAGTGATAAAAAATAAAGAAACAGTTATGCTTTGTCAATATATTAATGAAGCTTTCAAATTAAAATACCAGCTTATTAATGCTTAGATATGTATATATATTTCAACCACTTTTATGTATACCTTACATGTTCAAACTAATGAAAAGTTTTTACTGTGTATAGAAAAGTATGTATTAGCTACCATGCTTTTTATTCTTGTCATTTGTATTTTATTTCGTCCATCTAATACATCATGCTTACTTTCATGTCATTGTATTTTTCATGTCATTATATGTGTATGCTTGCACGAGAACTTTGTATATTAAGTGATAAATAAACGGTCTTCTTCTTAAATATTTTTGTTATCTATCATTTTAACAATCAACAACAACGACGTTAAGACATTTTATCACATCATTTATTACCATTAGTTACATGTCGTTACTCTATTTCGAGAGCATGTCCGAATACTAAAAGATAGCAATTTATCTTCTATTGTATATTTGCTTATTTAATAAGTAAGGCATTTGATTTTCAATAAATCTTTACTTCTTAAAATGATGAGACGTAAAATGATGAGATGTTAAATTCTAAAACTGAGATATTATTAGAAAATTTGACAATATCTTAAATACACTGACTATACTAAATAAATGTATTAGATTTGCTAAAATCCACAATAACTATGATACCATAAAGCCAACGAAATATACCTTTAGGGATGGACCCTTGATAATTATGATACAACATATCTTTATAATCATATATTTTATATAGTATTGCAGACATGATATAATTGTTTTATATGAGTTTACCATTGTTCAACATAGAGTAGTTCTCTCAAAACTCACAAGATTCAGCTGATCATCACATACTACATGTTGTTAAAGTGATCTTAGCATTTAAATTGAAATATATCTGAAACAGTTAAAATCTCTAAATGTGTCTGGTTTTTTTTTTTGGTTTTTTTTTTTTTGCATATTAACAAAAATAGTACAGATACAAACCTTTAAGATTATACGATATAAAAGATATTTCCTGTATTACTTGTTTATACCTGCAGAAAATTCTTTTTATGTTATCCTAGAATTAAAACCAGGTATTATGTACAAACTAATTACTTTTAAAATACGCATTGCATTAAGACTTAATTAATTTCATATCAAAGATAAAATCGCAGCAGCAAATCCAATTACAGTTATCTAAATCTGACATCATGAGAATACTAGTGTCTATCTTCAAAGCCTTCAATTATTTTGAAATTATTAAAAAACATGAACACGGAACAGAATTTTCTGTATCAAATTTAATCGAGTTTCATAATAATAGGAGTAAGCACGCGAACGTTTTAGGAAATATTAGTGTTTGGACTCATTTTTTGTCCAATAAGAATGGAGTATTTAAAATGAATCATAACATACTTACTTTTACTTTGGTAAATCGGCAAACTGTTAATCAGTCTAGTAAATCGACTGTTTATGAAAATACTTTCAAATACTATATACGCTGTTTAAAATTTATTAGTACGCATTTACAAAAGTAAATTGGTCGCGTTGACAATGGATATAATAATAAACCCCCTTGCAAGACTTTATTGTCATTAATCCACATTCATCACTTTTTGATGATAAATTTCCTTTTCATATTTATTAAGTGATAGATAAACATTGTGTACACATTACAGACGCAAACTTTTTGCAATTGTAAATGATTAATAATTGTTTTTAATTCCTTTCTTCCCAGCGGCGGCAAGTATATCGTCCCAGTCTGCCCAATAGGTGTCCTTGATTCTATCAAGATATGCAGTTACATTCTTGAGTTCGTCACCTGTTAAAACAATAATGAAGTTAATCTAAACAATGTTTATTTTACCATGACAAAAATATGATGTTTAGCTCGACTATTCGATAAGAATAAGAAGAGCTATCCTACTCAACCGAGCGTCGGCATCAGTGTCGGCGTCGGCGTAACCACTTATGTAAAAGTTTTTGTAACACCTCAAATATATAAGTTCATTGACATATGGCTTTGAAACTTTGCACATTTGTTCACCAATATGCCTCTAATGTGTACCAAAGAGGAGGTAACTTTATCAAGCATTTTGACAGAATTATGCCCTTGACTTAGAATTTACGTTAAAGTTTGCGTACCACCTCAAATATTTTCAAAGTCCATTGACATATAGCTTTAAATATATATGCAGAGTCCCTCGGAACTGTTGGAGCTGACTCTGCAGACGATATAGCACGGAAAAACGTGCGTTTACTCTATATTTACTATACCCCCTTACATATTTTTTTGATAAAAGTCCCCATTACATACTTTTCTTGTGATAAATAGCCCTTTCATTTTTATGGGGTGAAACATTCCCCCTAACACAACTTTCTGGTGATAAATGCATCTTTCATAACTTTTTAGTGATAAATGCACTTTTCATAACTTTCTGGTGATAAATTCCAATTTCATCTGATTATAAGTTTATGATGTTTATAACCTGTAAGTGTTTATATGATAAACAAGATTCAGCAGAATCATACAACATATCAGAGGAACACGTTAGGACGGCTCTAAAAAGCATACTGAAGAGAACAAGAGGGCCATGATGGCCCTAAAGTCGCTCACCTGTATATAGGCCCCCGGAGCGGGGCCAGTTTAAACCTCAGGGCTTTTATTTGAACAAACTTGGTAGACACCAATTAGAAGATGTTTCATGCTAAACATCTAAGGTCTAGCTTGTTGGGTTTTTTAAAAGAAGTTTTTTTTCTTTACACATATAGTTAAAAACAATGACACACCTGGGACAGGGCCAGTTTTGACCCCAGGGCTTTTATTTGAACAATCTTTGTAGACACTTACTAGACAATGTTTCATGCTTAATATCTGAACTCTAGCTTATACACATATAAGGAAAATCCATGTCCCCTGGGACGGGGCCAATTTTGACCCCAGAGCTTTTATTTGAACAAACTTGGTAGCCACTCACTAGAAGATGCTTCGTGCTTAATATCTAAATTCTAGCTATTTGATTTTTTTCAAAGAAGATTTTGTAAGTTTTTGTCATACACATATAAGGAAAATGAATGACTCCCGGGGCGAGGCCAATTTTGACCCCAGGGCTTTTATTTGAACAAACTTGGTAGACACTAACTAGAAGATGTTTCATGCTTAGTATCTAAACTCTAGCTATTTTTTTTTTCAAAAAAGAGCTTTTAAGTTTTTGTTATAAACATATAAGGAAAATGAATGACCCCCGGGGCGGGGCCAATTTTGACCCCAGGGCTCTTATTTGAACGAACTTGGTAGACATTCATTAGAAGATGCTTCATGCTAAATATCTTAGCTCTAGCTCTTTGCATTCTGTAAAAGAAATTTTTTTAAGTTTTTACTATATGCATATAGGGAAAATCAATGACCCCCTGGGGCGGGGCGAATTTTGACCCCAGGGCTTTTATTTGAACAAACTTGGTAGACACCCATTAGAAAATGTTTCATGCTAAATATCTTAGCTCTAGCTCTTTGGGTTCTTTAAAAGAAGATTTTTTAGGTTTTTACTATATCCATATTAGGAAAATCAATGACCCCCTGGGGCGGGGCGAATTTTGACCCCAGGGCTTTTATTTGAACAAACTTGGTAGACACTCACTAGAAGATGTTTCATGCCAAATATCTAAGCTCTAGCTCTTTGGGTTTTTTAGAAGAAGATATTTAAAGTTTTTTTCTTTTGGTTGCCATGGCCACCAGAGTTCTGCATGGAATGGAATTCTTTGAACAACTTTGTTAAGGCTTCACACAAGGAACATTCCTGTGAAGTTTCATTATGATCTGCCTTATGGTTTCAGAGGAGATGTCGTTTTAAAAGTGTGAACGGACAACGGACGACGTACGACGGACGACAGACGACAGACGAAGAGTGATCCAAATAGCTCACACTGAGCATATGCTCAGGTGAGCTAAAAACGGAATCGTATCCTTAAAAAAACACTTAGCTAAATAGTAAAACTGCAGGTTCAGTTTGACTGAGCCTATTCATCGACGACGATTGGTTAGTGCAAGTTATATATCAATTATCAGTTATTTTTATGAAACAGGTCCATCATAAAATTATGTAAAAAATAGGAGTTACTTCTCACAAATATTGTTCAATTAAAGAAACCAAGTTTGGCACAAGTTATTAGATAGAGGTATACAAAGCAACCTGTTAGTGCAAAATATCTAAAACATATATATGAATTGTTTGTATCACAAACAAAGGAATGTTCACTAACTTTGTAGAAGCTTATGTCCAGGACAATTTTCAGGAGTGCACCAACGTATCTGCGAAATAATTCCAAATGCTGCACAGTCTGTTTCGGTTATTGTTTCTCCCATGATGAACCTTTTATCCCCTGTACGAACAATAAAAATAGTCTTATTGTCTGCTTTCCGCCAGAAAAAAATCTACTGTACGAAAGATTAATAAGAAATATATATAAGACACAAAGAAAAAGAAAGTCATTTTTAAAAAGTTAAAAAGTGCTTAAAACATTTCGAATGATTCCCATAACAAAAACAAAAATGTAAATTTTTAAACAAATCTTTAATTATTTTGTTTCAGTTAATATTTGTAAAGTTAAAATACACGTGTACATTTGTATAATATGTAACGTATTTTTTAACTTATATGTATTATAACTTTTTAGACTTTTTCACAAACAGGAAGGCATATTAGATTTTTGAAATTAATGAAACATCAAAGTATCAATTATATTATTCATATTCACTTTCAATATAAGCAAATATTTAATATGGATCAATTTAAGAAGCGTCCGATTCCATTTTAAAAAGAACTCTTGAACACTGCGCCTACTATATCACAAAAAGAAAGTCGCATTTACAAGTATCTATAGACAACGTATGGGACAAAAATGCAACAAGGAATGGCGACATTGTAAGTCTTTTTAAGTTTTTAGCATTGTACACGAAACCTGTTGTTTCGGTAGGTGATTAAGGTTGTTGGCCACAAATGCACGTGTTTCTCTAAGATCCATGTCCTCTGCGGGTTTGTATACAGCCCGTTATTTTTACGAAAGATTGCTGGTTCTACAAGGCACGCGTTTATGCCTGAAATACTGGAGAACGGACATCTTAGTTTTTTACCCCTTATCCTTTAACCTTTGCAGCCCTACAGTTTATCTGTGATTAAAAACCATGTTTGTTAATCATATGGGGCTAGGTAGAATAATAGCTATTATACAGTATTATTATTTCAGTCTGTACCCATTTCAGACTGCAAAATAACGGAAAGAGGTTATTAAAAGTTTCCTTGTAACTATTAATTACATGATATATAAATATTGATAAGTCCCGAGCTTGTTGAACGTAATCTTCAATGCACCCAAGTGCTGCATTTACCAACACAAACCATTAAATGTTCTGGAAATAGGGTCGGAATAACATCTTTGTGTATTTAAATACGTTAGTGGGCATACAGCACAGTAAAATTCAATCACTTCTCTTAAGCATTATACAGCCTTGTTTCAAAAACTTCTTGTCTTTACAAACGCCCGTGTTTTGTTGCTTTAACCTTTATAATTTATCAATAAAACATACTATTCTATTGTAATACATGTCACATTTACGATCAATAGACTGAAATTAACCCAACAATCTAAATCATTTTAAGATACGCGATATATAGCAAAGGGAAGTTTTAAGAAAGGGAATAGTGTACAACATTCTGTGTTATATTTATAATTTACAAGTAATGGGAGGTAACTCTAGTAACAAGCATGCTCAGACATAATGCTTAACCTAGATTAAAAAAAATACGGAATTGAGCGGTATACAAACCTAGAACTTCCGAAAACTGTTTCAAATCTTTTACAACCATCTCCTGTATTTCCTCGTTACTATGACGACCGACACCCACTGTATATAGATATTTAACCGCTTGACGTTTCATAAATATTGTATAAAACAGTGCCATCAGTTTTGTAGCATTAACATAACGCATCATGTCGTCCCAACCTATAACCCATCTGGTAAAAACGTTTAACCTTTAAATATATACATGAATGTTTTGAATATTTGAAAAAAAATGCAAAGACTTGAATCACGATCGTTATAGCAACAAGTGGTATATACAAAATATAACTTAACTGGAAATGATTGTCGGACCATTTTATAGGCGCATTTTATTTTGTTATGAAAATAACTACATTGAATGAGCAAACATGTACAAATTAGTTGTAATCGACTCCGTACCTTACCCACAGGGTATCGTGGGTTTTTGGTGTTTTGATTTGCAACAAAATCCCTGCAGGTAAAGACCCACGAATAAAGAAAAAAGTAAGATAGTAAATTCTTAATGCCTCCCAATCGTTCCCCATCCTTTCTCATTTGGACTTCAAGCCAGAACTTGCGCAGTGACCATGTAGCGCCGAGGACACACGGAGGTAAAACATCACCTATTTACTACACTAAACCTCCCGCAGTGCCCAGCGTTCATGTCGCTGCTTATAACTGACTGGTACATACATTATATATAAACTTACCAATAGGTGTATTCTTCTAGCCATTTTTGTACAGCCCATGCTATGGCACGCTCTTGTTTACTAAGATGACTGTTCATGTCTATATTCAGCTGTTTGTTCAGATATTCAATAATCAGTTGGGAGTCTCCCATAGTTACACCGTTGTATTCTATCCATGGAACTTTTTTCTTTGGTCCGTTTTGGTAATTAAAATCAAGCTGAATTATAAACCACAATTTATGATTGCTTGCACCAAAGACATGGTAACTATAAAAAATATGTTACGAGGATAGAGAAACATAAACCAATACTTTCATCAGTGAGTCCAGTAATTCAAAAACCTTTCGTGGATGAATAACATAAATATGGCTAGAAACAACCATCGATTTTTTTTTTGACATTATATAACAATCTTCTTCTAATCTGTCGACCTGACCTTTGTGTGTTACAAGTTTTCCTATTGTGACACAAAAATATACTTAGTTGTTACAAAATAAAGTCATGGATGACAGAATTGATGACTGGATAAAACCATCGATGTACTTCTATGAAACTATAATATATGATAAACAAGAAAAGCATTGATGCAAAGCATCAAAGGGCGTCCAAGCAAGAAATGCAGAAAGAGAAGATGAACTAGTAGACATATGATGACAAGATATTCTTATAAACTTTTCAATGGTTAATTTGTTTTTACCAGAATGAACGGACGAAAGACATTATTCATTATGAACTTTGATTGGCATGCTAGAGATTAGAATATTACTTGTTATTTCTTTATGATCGTGATTATTAATAGCAACGGATATACATGTATACAATCATTTATAGTCCATATGTGTAACGCATGATCAACACCACACTTGTGGAATTGTCTCTTATTATGCTATCGCTATTAGCGAAGACCCCCTCTTTAGGTATCTGTTCACACTTAGTAAAAATATGACACTGGCTATATTACCATGTTGATCATGTTGAGCATAATTGTTTATTATACAATAATTGTAATACCTATTTTAATATAAAAAATACAGATTTAATGAATATTGTTTTCCTCTCTTTTTTTGTGTGTTTTATGTGCTATTTTAATACTGAGTTTTTACGTTTACTACTCTTTTTTTATCAAAATTGTAAAATGTTTTAAGAATTCAATTGTCATATTGACCGACGATTATAAGTCAAAACTTAACTAGAAAAAGTCAGTAAATTATGCTCAATCTTTCAATAAATTAAATAAAATATTTCAAAGTTGATAGTGTCATATTAATACCATAAAATGTACCTTTTTTCTCAATTATTGCATATATTTATTGTTTTTATCTCATATAGATAAAATGAAACATGCTATTGTTGTTGTTGTTGGTTTTTTTTCGAATTGTATGTTTGTGTGTAATAATAATCAATAAATTTGAAAGTTGAGTGACAAACATTCATTTTGGAAAAAAAGCTTATTTATCTGTTAAATATTTGTTCTGTTCTGTAACGATATCAAACATCTACTCCAAAACCGGGAGAGACCGGACAATAAACGTGTGATACTATTCGCCGGTCACTAGTAAATCCCGGTCAAAATAGACCGGGAGAGACCGGGAATTACCGATAGCAGTACATCCCTCTATAAATAGATTTTCGGAATGTTTAGGTCATCAACTCATCATACCATAATAACCCACTTTGTACTACAAAATGATAAATAAAAAAAGACGAAGAGACGGAAAAGGTTATTTCATGTATTGCGAAATTCTTCTTGTACATATCGAGACATTTTTTTAATCAAGCACCCTCATACCGATCGGAATGATCGGCTTTTATTATGACCGACTAAAAGGCTCGAGAAGTTGCTGTCGCCCATTCACAAAATCTGATTTCATTCCATAAGGGCGCCGCGCTTCGGCGCGGACGCCAACAAGATCAACAAGGAAAGGCGGCGTTCAATGAACGTAATCTTAAAAGTCCTAGCGTGACCTTGATCTTTAAGCTGAAACCTCATCACAAATTGTTGTAATTAACCATATAACTTTTAAACAGAAGTTATAACACAATCTGTTACTGAGTGACAAAAGGACATAAATTGGGCATCAATTTACAGTCATATCATGTAATTTGGCATTCGAGTATGAACGCGACCGTTTGGCTGCTGAGCTGAATTTGGTTCATTATAAGCAGCATCTTTATCAAAGTTCATCCATTATTGACAAATTTAAGAATACACTAAAACAATCTATTCACAATCATTTGACATACAAGTGTGACCTTGATCTTTGAACTGGATACGTGACCCCTATACGTAACACATCATGATCATGTTTTACACATTCATTTATAATATTTTTTAAATCCATCCTAGAATGACAGAATTATTGACCGGACACGAACATCAGTGAACATTTATAAACATTCATGTCATTACTTTTGATCTACATTGACGTTTTGGGTAGGGATATGATTCTTGCGTGCGACACTTTATCATTATGTCCAACACATATATGCATAATAGTCATTAAATGATTATAACAAATGTTTCAAATCAGTTTTTTTTTAGAATTAGATTTGATTTTTTTTGATGTTTGTTGTTTTTTTTCACCTGATACGGAATTTTGTTGATCCTCAGGTAGGTTTCTAGCTTCATAACAAAATGCCCCATATTCGGAATATACTTGTTTCCGGGAAACACATGCAATATCACTGTGTCTTTTGGGTAGTCTACTCCGCATATCCTGTTAAAAATATAAATGCAGTTTACTTTCTTAACTCCAAGTTGGAAAAAATATGATCATAACATAAATAAGCGACCAGAGCTTTATAAACAGTGATCACGTTTACAGACTGTGATAAAATTTTATTGAAGGTACACTGTTTAATCAATTTCCTTATACATGTTCATTTCTTTCGACAAGTGGTTTCTACTAAAATAGATGGATTCGGATGAGAAATTTATGTAAAATGTTAACATAGGTAGGTCTACAGCACTGCTATTTTGTGTAAGAAAATGACAAAAGAAAGTAAGGACAGTTTGATGCAAACATGCATGATTTAAATGAAATGATATGTAAACATACTTATATGATTATCAATAGATATCGATATTTTCAGATATTGTGAATATTCTCATAACAGAGTTATGTGCTCTTTATCGGGGTTTTTACTAGAGCTACATGTATGAAAATGCTAGAATTAACCTTGTACGTTTCCTCCATCGCTTATACAGGAAACAAGTAGCTCCAACGACAACAGCTCCTGCTGCTAAATATGATTTATTATCCTTGATAAAATCACGAGTTAAATCCATGTTGAAGGAAAATGATAATAAAAATATTTTCGTCCTATTTTTAGCCGAGATAATGTAATGAAAAGGTTAAATGCTAGAGCGTTGAAGGAAAAGATACCGGTATACGGTACACGGTATATACGTTTATTTTGTGTCATTAAAAGATATATTGGAGAAAATGATAACAAAAATGATTTAGGAAACAGTTGTTGGGTTTTTGTTTTTGTTTTTTTTATGGGGGGGGGTGTTATTTTTTTATATTTATTTCATTTTATTTTTCATTATCTTTTTTAGCTTGATCGAAGGCGTAACTGGAAACAATCTTATCTTTAGGAAAGTAGGAACTTTAACATACAATTGTTCGATTTCTATAATTCTTGAAAAAAATTTAAGACGTTAAAATTCTTACGATAGTCGATGTCAATCGGAACACTTCGGCTATTAGGGTTCACGATTGTGTCTACTTTATCTGTTGACTACTGACGTGTGCGTTTATCGCAATTGAAAGTCCATTCTCATGTGTCCGAAAAATTGATTTTCTCTATAAAAAAAATAAGATAAATTTTTGTAACTTCTTTCGATTATGTTACTATAGATGTTTACATCAACCTTCTACCTATCTCAGTCACCAGACGAACAATGTCTAAGGATAGTGACTGCACTAACAAATGTATTTTAGACATAAAAAGAACTGTATCCAACGGCAAAAATATCGCCAACAGATATACAGTTTTTTTGTGTGTGTGTTTTTTTTTAGATTTTTGTTTTCACAATGTAACACATTTATGCAGAAACATACAATATATTGAAATATAGATGTACAATTAAAGGGCATAAATCTCTTTATCTTATGAAATATTTTTGTACAATAAGTTTATTAACAGTAAAATTATATTGGTGTCATATGGTTGATTCCCGAAAAAGTTGTAGCATAGAATGTCTCTGTTATTTAATACACATGAATATTGTACGTAATCAAAATAAAATGTTCCGGAACAAAATAATATTTGCAGTTTAAAGTAGGGTTTTATTCGTTTAGCAATGATTTTGTACATGGGTCATTCGCTTTTAAGGCAATTATCTACCATGCTTTTTTGTTGTTGATTTTTTTTTTCATACAAACATTTTTGAAGTATTCAAACAATAATTCTTACAGCAGATATATAGCTTTATACACTTTAAAGAGGAACCAAAAAAAATTTTTAAGATTCTACAAAGCATATAAAGTAAGTAATACAATAGTATCTTACCAATATTGTAAAACGTTGTGGCAAAAAAAAATGAAAAGGCAGACATGTTGCAGGTGGGTGTACGCAACATGTCAACGGTACATGTGACGTGGCATACACTCGTCCCCAATCGGAACCACCTCGGTTATTATTCATAAAAACCTCGGTAAAAAAGTTCTACCACGTGGTTTCAGATGTAAACAAAAACAGAGATTGTTATTGTTGATAATGTGAAACGAATGTACGTATTTGACATCCAATGAAATATTCGGTACAATTTTTATTGAAAATATGTCTGAAAACCATTTTTTTATTTAAATATACCCATGAATTGATCAAATCCGACTAAATGTCAGCAGGTTTGCATTTTTTTGTACTTTCGGTTACTTTAACCATAATAGTAAGTATATAATTAAATGTTGTTTACTTTAATATCTATGAATTTAATTGGCAGACTTAAATTACTTGATATCTTGGGGGGAAAATCTTGTCAATAATTCACTGCATTTAATTACTTTTTGTTAACATGTTTAGTTTCTTAGCCAAGGTTATACCGAAATACCGTATCCGACGTTGTGTTCGGGGTCCTTATCCGAAGTATGACGATAGGGGTCAGAAAGTTGCGAATGACTCGTCCCCTGCATACACAATGCGAATTTATTTTTTCGGAATGCCTGTAAAAGTAACAGGGAAGGACTGAATATAAGAAGAAATTTTATTGGTCATTTTAATATTACAAACTAAAATCGTTGAATCTCATTGGTCATTCTAAAATAAAATGTAAAACGTGAAACAAGGAAAGGAACACCTTTAATAGAAGTTGTTCTTTGAAAAACAATCAATATAAATATGCTATAATTTAATTTCAATGGTAACAATGTGTGTATTTTCTTAATTGCTACAAGAAATGAGTATTATTTCATTGTTGTGCAAGCATTGCTTACATTTATTTTTGTATTGAAAACATAGAAATAACATAATTTTGCATGTTAAACAGATTTACTTCGGCCGAGTATCATTTTAAAGTATACTTATTGTTTCCTTTATTTTATTTAAATAATTTTTATAAATGGCAAAACGGCAAACTTCCGCCACATAAAACACTTCAATCTTCATTACTTGTCCCGTATTTTCCAAAAATAAAAGAAATATCATGCGTTCTTATCTGAGTTAGTATCATCATCATAGCAATAACATTTATAACCTATCATCATTATTACCATTTTCACAATAATCATAATCATCTCAATCACTATCAATATCACTACCTTAACCATTATCACCATCAACCTTTATCAACACATAACAATCGTCATCATCATCATCATCACCATCATCATCATCATCATCATCATCATCGTCAACAACAATTACAACAACATCATCATCAACAACATCATCATCATCATCACAGTCATCATTCCTTCCAGCATCAGCATCCCCACCATCATCATAACCATTACCAAAATATCACCACCACCATCACCACTGCAAACACCGCCTTGTTAATATTGAAAAGTATGCTTTAATGTCGAGCTCTGCATAAACCAGGGATATGGGATGTCATTAGTTACTTGTATTTACCATTTATGAACTGGCTCAAAGTGAATTGATCTATAATGGAAGGTTTGTAATACAATGAATATTTACGTTGAAAGTATTAAGTATTAGATATAACAACACAACACGAAAGTATTATATATGGATTTGTTTGGCAATGTAAGTTACATAATCCGATATAACATATATTTAAAAAGCAGATTATAAAATGTTCTGGAACAGTATATTATTATACATCCGACATATCGCTCATTTTAAATCACAAAAATCTTTATCAACATTTGTATCAAGCATCATTTTTGTATGTATATCCAAATGATATTGTTTTTGTTTTCTCAATATTTTAAGTACTTATGGAAAATGTATAGCAGTCACTTACAATACCTTCGATCAAATGTGTGTGAAATTTATACTAAAATATATACGGTTATAATATACCAAATATACAAAAGAATGTAGTAAATTCTGTCATATTTAGCAAAAGCGGGTATATTCTCAAGCCTGTTTTAAATAAAGTAATAAGTAGTAGATGTAACGTCGTCGTTGTTGCAGTCATATAGAAGAAGTCATCATAGTCGTAGTTATATGAGTAGTAATAGTTGTACATGTAGTAGCAGCAGTGGTGGTGGTGGTGGCAGTGTTAGTAGTGATAGTAGTCGTAGTGTAAGTGGTAGGGTGAGTGTGGTAGTTGTAGTGGTGGTGGTAGTAGTAGTAGTAGTATATGTAGTGAAAGTGGTGGCGGTGGTTGGTTTGGTAGAAGTGGTAGTGGTAGTAGTAGTGGTAGTGGTAGTAGTAATGGTGGTAGTAGTGGTGGTGGTGATGGTGGTGGTAGTAGTAGTAGTGGTGGTGGTGTTGGTAGTGGTGGTGGTGGTGGTAGTAGTAGTAGTGGTGGTAATGGTGTTGGTAGTGGTGGTGGTGGTGGTGGTGGTGGTGGTGGTAGTGGTGGTGGTAGTGGTGGTGGTGGTAGTGGTGGTAGTGGTGGTGGTGGTAGTAGTAGTAGTAGTAGTGGTGGTGGTGGTGGTGGTGGTGGTGGTGGTGGTGGTGGTAGTGGTGGTGGTGGTGGTGTTGGTAGTGGTGGTGGTGGTGGTGGTAGTGGTGGTGGTGGTAGAAGATTTAGTAGATCTGATGGTGGTGGTAGTAGTTATAGTATAAGTAGAAGTAATAGTAATAGTAGTAGGAAGTGGTCGTAGTGATGGTCCTTGTAGAGTTGTGGTGATGTTGGTGGTAGTAGTAGTTATTGTGATGGTGGTAGTGGTAGTGATAGTGATAATCGTTTAATATAATTGTCAAATCGAAAGATTTAAGTTAGACAATGAAATTTGCCGTGGTTAATATACATAAACAAGAAGGAAACCCCTCAATATTTCTAATCTGCAGGTCCGCTCTAGATATGTAAATTAGTACCGCGGTTGATTGCTGTCCAGATCTTCTATTTTAAGAAGCGAACGTCACTGCCGCGACGCTGTGTTGGAGAAGGCCTAACACTGATATGAAGCACTTTTCAAAGATAAAGTAACTGAAATACTAAGAAACTTCAAAGAATTGTATTTTTCCAATAAAAAATAAAGGCTCAAAGCAGCTTTAAATTGACTTGTTAATAGAAGTTGTTAGAAGTATGAGCATTTCCAAAAATGCTAGGAATCGCCGTTCAACCTGGCTATTTGCTTTATTTTTCGCGACTCCTTACTAAACAATAGAGCTAATGTCTCGTAATATTCCTTATATTGTTTACGTGTTTTCATCGTGGCCTATGATACAAAAGAAAAAGAACATCAAAACACCCGGTAATGTGGTTAATACTCGGAGGCTCCCCCACCTGGTACAAATCAGATAGCTTCGTGTTTCGTTGCTCTTTCTATTACTTAAAGCATGTCAATCAGTATTCCATATGATACATTACATGTTTACGACCATTCGGACAACAACACTTTGTCATATTCTGAAAATCCTCTATATTATATATTGATCCAATGGTGTCTAATATCTATCCCAAAGAACTTCAACTCTTGAAATTTAACCCCGTCATTTTTGGATCTTTATATCATAGTCGATAATAATACTGTTCACAAACAAATCTATGATGAAAGAGATGACTTTGATATTGGTATAATCAATCATCCATAATTAGATGGACATGTACCCATGCAACATCTTACTTGGTTTATGTATCTCAGTTAATTAGATTCGCTAGGACTTGTAGCCTTTTGTAGGTCCATGAGTTTTGTGGGTAGATGAGAGAAGAGATTAGGCGGATTTTGGTTGTGTAAAGGAAGGGGGTTCTTAGGGGGAACAAGGGGGAACAACTACAATTATTTTGTTCTGGTTTATCAATCAGTTTAACTTTCTGCAGTTCTATAAAACATGAAAAAAGAGATATGAAAAATGTATTTCACGTATCTAAGCCATCAAGATACAAAAAATCATCTTGCAGAGGTTTTGTTCGATCAAATAAGTGTGTTGGCTTGTCATCGTAACCGAACAACTGACAGTCCTCCCTAACAAACACTCTCAACCGTTCCATGTCTTCTATTGAGACCTGTCGATAAGACTGTACAAGAGCCTCTTCTCTTTGTTTCTTGATCGTTTCACGGTCAGGTATAGCCGCCACAGCTTTTTTAATCTCCACAATAAAGTCCTCTTCTGTAATTGTGGTTACATTGTAATGTTCATATGGAAATTCAACATGCTTAGATATATATCCTCTTATTTGAAGGTCTCGCCATGTTCTTAACATTAGTTTTTCAAAGGGGAGCCTTATTTGATCTAAAATTTTCTTCGTTTGAAATAAAAACTTAATCCGTGCTCTCGCAGTATCTAAAATAGAGTCTTTCTCGAAGTCCCCGAACTCTACGCTAACGTTTCCAAACTCTTTCTGCCATTTTGATATAAGAAAAATGGCGTCCTTTTTAAACGTTTCCATCTTTCCTATGTATTGAAAGTGTGTGCTGCAGGGGTCACATATTGAAACCATTGGTTTAAAATGAATGTCGACATTTTTGTTATTTTCATTGAGATAAATTAAGTACTTAATGAACTCTGGGAAGGTGACGTCAAATCCATAACTGGTATACACTTCGTTATTACTTTTACGAATGAGTCGAATGACATGTTTGCCTACTAGCTTCCAGTACACTACATTTGGATGATAAATCTTGCTTATATAACCTGAAAATATGCGCGAGTAAGGATTTCTAACAAACATGAAAGATGTCCCATTCTCCTCGACACGCTTTAAGTCTGTTGCTGAAAGTTTTGAAGCGTTTATTGATTTAACTTGATCTAGATTCAATTCGAAAGGTGATGAATACTTTCCTTGACTATCAAGTACAGCTAGAATTCTTTTCCAGAATGTTGATCCAACTTTTGTTATCGGACAACATAATATTAAACGATTATGCGAAACAATTGAATACTTGCTTCCATTCAAACTGGAAGAAACAGTCCTATTCGTTTTTAGACAACCTTCATCTATGACTCTTCGTCTTTCAACATAGAATGATTCCCTGTCATAAGGTTCATCGTATAAAGGGTCTGCACCGCCTCTTCTTAGAAGGATATTTTGAATATCATGTTTTAAAGAAAAGTTTCTATACTCACTTAAGATGAAATATAATCCTGAAAATACATGTATATGACATAGCCTGTATCTACTATAATCTAAATAACCTTACTGACATTTTTGTTTCTGGATATTTTAGTTAAAACGTTTAAATGTAAACAAACCACAACAATAAAATAACCACAACGCTTTACATTTTAACGATTTTATCATCACAATATTACATTTTAAGATAGTCGGACAATTAGAACATTGAAACAAATTCGTAATTAGTAAAATGTGATTGATAACGAGAGGAACATTCAAAAAATCAGCCAAACTTAAAACCGAATTAGATAAAAAAAAAAAACTTGTTTGTTTTGCATCTAAGATTAAATTTGCTTGCATATCAGACATAAATATCTACTGTTTGCACGGTTGCTAAGTCAAAAATAGAAAATATAGGAATCCCTAAAGAAAGTCCAAACTGGCAAAATTGAAAATGTTGATGGCTGGGTTTGATTGTGCCTGTTCATGGACGGTACTGTCAAGTGCAAAAAATATGATAAACAAGATCAACAAGGAAAGGCGGCGTTCAATGAACGCAGCCCCCACCCGACCCAGCAATAAGCGCAAGCGGCAAGAAGCCCAGAAGGACCCCAAAGAAAAATTATCTTCTCAACCCTTAGCACGGGCTTAAGCAGAAATCAACATTTAAACATGAAATGGTTATAAATTGACTTTTTACATCATCCGCAGATGTGTACATATGGCGATAATCATGTAACCTTAACTGTGACACTTCCGTGCCATTCCATGAAAATGGTCACCAGGTAATAGAAAGCGTGTGCCCTAAAAAAGAAAACAGTGGGCGGAACTAAACAATATAGAATTTGAAAGAGGAACAGAGGTTTGTTTCATTTGTTTCATTTTACGCCTTTTCCCAACAATATTTCAGTCATCTAGGCAACAGAGGTTGAGAAGCCTGAATATCACAGGTATGACGTCAAAAGACAAAGTTAAAAAACAGGCAACACAGCCTAAGGGTGATTCAACATTATTCAAGAAAGAATACTGGAACCACTCAAGTAGAATAATTATGCAAAAAGAATTTAAACTAAAAATACCAAACAGACAACAATAATGTCGTGCTGAACGATATTTAAGTCGCGCGTAAAAGACGTCATTCACACTCGCCTTTGAATGAATTGCGTTTTAGAATGATGTCATTTCTTCGTTATAAAGTTGTTTATTCATACCCTACTTAAAGAAAAATGTGCTACATGATAATATAAGTTTTCACAATTTTTTTTCCGAAATCTGATTAATATTTGATATGCAAGTAAAAGAATCAAATACTGGTTGTCGCCACAGACGGGAATATCTAGCTCTCGGGTAACTGTTTAGCGGAAACTCTGCAGGGCCTCATAATCGTCGTAAACAGTGACCCTCGGGCTAGATATTCCAGTCTGTACCGGTAGCTGGTGTAAGATCCTGATAATATATACATTGCTTTGAAGTACGTATTTATATAATAACCCGTCATAAATCTTATCAGCTCACAAGCAGAAGCAAAGTAATGAAATGATTAAAAGTATACCTTTAATAGCCATGAACAAGCAAATAACACATATTAAATATTTTCCTTTTTCAAGGTGAAGTTTCATTTTCAATTTATTCTAAAGTAAATCTGTCAAATTAAGCCAAGAAACGCCAATAAAATGCCACCTATGCAAACTCACAAATGCTGATAACGTTAACTTGGTAAAGAAAATACACTTGATTTTAAGCATTTATAGTCTTATGTAATCGATGGAATCAAAATTAAAGAACCAGATGTCACAATGTATATATCAATCGGACGATGAGACAGATGGAAAATTCTTGCGCGTTAGGAATTAACATAACAAATATTGCAGATGTTTTATGAAATGCCAAAAATGATGATAATGTATTATATTAATCGTGAAAAATGATTTGTGTTTGGATGCGTGCGAGTGTGCGATTTGTGCGTGTGTGTTTTAATGTTTCCAGTATAGTGTCACACTGTTAGTGAGGTCATATAATGTTGAATATATGTGCGATTAACCCTGTTCAGGCTGCGATAAGAAGAATTGTGCGACTGGAAAAGAAATAACATTGTTTATTACTATTTGTAAGTGTTAGTTTCCTCAATCCTTACTGTTATAATTATTATATACAATTAGCAATTACATTGTATGAACACATGAGTGTACAATGTATTCTTAAGTTATGGGAAGTAAAAACTCGTTTTAAAACTGAAGCTCCTCAATTTTCCCTATTATCTTCCTGTTTTGACTAGGTTTTTAAAGTTAGAAATATCAGTATTAAAAACGTTAGATTGAAAATAACATACTTTTCCCCTAAGACTAATGATCCCTAATTTGATAATACATCTTGGTGCACTTGATTATAAGCATCAGGAATGGGCCAAATATAATAGATATTGGACTCGGTTTCGCAGACAAGGTTATTTCTATAGTTAATGTAAGTTTTCATTTTAAACATATTTAATAATTTTTCTTATCAATTTTCATTCCAGATTAGATTTTTTTGGAGGGCAAATTTTCAAGACTACAAATACAATGTAATTTTATTACACATTGTTTCTACGGTCTGCAAACATTTATTTCCAAGCAAAGTAGCGCACAGTAAACATTTAACAGCAACACAAACATATTCTTTACAATTTGTAGATAATGAACACATATTTAAGAACTTATTATTAAAATATTTTAAACTCCATTTTGTTCTGATTTATTCCCTTAAGACTTTGATATTTAAAAAAAAAGAATGAAGTTACAATGATTTAACATTTGATAGTTTCATTTGCAATTATTCCATAAAGGTGCCCTCACACATAAACCACGACCTTACTGCGACCTGAAAACTAGTAAAATAGCATTTTTCTTTCGAAAATCGTTGGTTTTCTTCCAAATTTCTCTCGCAGACGGTCCGGGGCTCTGCAGTCTTGTGTTCAGTACGTTTTCTCTATGTCCTCAATACGACCCTTCTACATCCATGGCGTTTCCACTGCGACTGTATTGCGTTCCCAAGGCGACCCAACGGCGATCATCGGCGACCCAGCTGCGACTGTGCTATGTTCTCTGCGTCCTTACGGCGACTCTACGACGACTATTTCGTTTGTCCGGCGACTGTCCTGCGACTGTACGACGACCCTACTACGTTCTTGCTACGTCTATAAAAACAATACTTTTGCCAGTAAATTTCATTCTGAGTCTGACCTTACGGCGTCCTAAGTACGAGTGTACTACGTGTATTGCGTTCTTATTGCGTCCTTACGATGCTGCTGCGACTATGGCGACTCCACTGCGATCCCACGGCGACCTAACCAGGACTCAGCAAGAACGCAGAGTTTCTGCGACTGTTTTGTGCATGTTCAAAATAGTCGCCGACGGTCTGCGACCTTGTGCGTCCTTGGGTTCCTCGCTACGACCTCTCTGCGTCCCTGCTGCGTCCATGGCGACTGTGCTGTGTCCTGGGTCGTAGCAAGGTCGCAGTAAGAACGCAGTAAGGTCGCGAGGTATGTGTGAGGGCAGTATAACAAACAGCAAATTTGCCATAAAAACATATTTATTTTCAAATGTATCTATTATCTATCTTTCATTATATATTCAAAAGAGAGGCTGGGATAATTCTAATTATCTGATAAGTGAATACAATAAGAATTTCCCCACCACATACGTGTTAACAAAAGAGCACATGTCAATGTTTGTGGCAAAATCGATTGATATTCAAGTAAAAGGTCAGAGTACAGCTCCGTTAAGAAAACTCAGCTATCAAATGTCTTAAACAAAAAAAATATCGATACTTCTCTAGAAACGTTACACTACACCATAACTTTTAAACACTTGTTTGATTAGAGTCTATTAAAACTTTCCTTTTAATCTACCCAATTGAGCGGCTGCTACCAAATTTGGCTTTTTTTCAGAAATAAATAAGGTGATATTGTAAAATTTTAAACTCTTCATCGCGAAGTTTTAATTTTATTACACTTACACGTCCCAATTTTTTTTAAAAAGTTTCGTTTTTAATCTATTGGGCTAACCTTAAATCAATTTGTCAATTGGCCTCTAACATATAAGATACTTCAGATATTTCACATGTATGATCGAACACGAGATTCATGATATCCTGTATTGAAAACTTAGATAGTTTTAAACAGTAAACATTTTTATTTATAGTAAGAGTTTAAAGGAAAAGCACAAACAATACCTAAACTATCTCAAAATATAGAACGAATTATCCTTCTTCCTACTTTTATTATCTTAATTGTTAATATAATCATCATCATCATCATCATCATCATTATCAACAACAACAACAACAACAACACTATTTTCTTATACATGTATATATCTTTATGTATATTCATTTATTTATTTTAAGTTTAATGTATTATTTCCTTTTTGCTCATCTTCTGGAGTGTGTAGTTTTAATTATGACACTTATATTTTCGGACATGTTTGATGATTCATTTGAAGTACCTCGGAATATTAAAATAATTATATTTTCAAGTGTCATTTATGTTTTCTGCGTTTTTAAGCTATTTAAAGGAAGTTTATGATTGTTAATGTCAAATATCTCGGTTTAATGATTTGACACAATATCTGGAAGTTTAATCATAAGAAGAAACAACAGTGCCGTTTCGTATCGTAATTTAACTGAGAAATGTTCAAATGACGGGACTATTTATTCCAGGCTTGATTTTTTTATTTGCCAAGGCGGTGAATCGTAAGTTATTATTAAACTTAATTTTTCAATGTTGTTCGGTGTTATTCTTGTTGCTCGTGTAATTGCTATTGATGTTGGTATTGGTGATGTTGTTATTGTTGTTATTGTTATAATTTCCGCTGCTGTTGCTGCTGCTGATGATGATGATGATAATGATATTGATGCTGTTGTTGTTGTTGCTGTTGTTGATATTGTTGCTGCTGCTGCTGTTGATGATGGTGATGATTATATTTTTGTTGTTGTTGGTGGTGTATTTAGTGTAAATGGTATTGTCAGTGACAAAGGTGTTAGTTAAGGTGGTTGCTGCTACTATAGCGGTGGTGGTGGTAGATGTGGCCGCATCAACATCATCATCATAATCATTTTATTCAATTATCAATTGAATTCTTCCACATGTTTCAAAGACTGATTTTTTATTTTTGCATGCCTCCAGATAGCAAAATTATTTCAAGAAATCAAATTTTAAAAAAAATTCAACTTTTTTAGGAAAAGTTAAAAATTTTAAAAATTCTTGATTAGTGTTCGGGGGTTATGCTCGTTTAAAAACGAACCATATATGACCCGTCTGACAAAACCAAACAAAAATTGGTTTGCGACCCCGCATGGATCCCGACCAGTCGGGACATCGCGCAGTCGATCAATCGGGTCCCCTGCTGTTTGCTTCATTTCTCTCCTTGTATAGGGGTTTTTAAGGGGGAAAGCATGGGTCCTGATCAGACTGCGCGGATGTGCCGACTGGTCTGGATCCATGCTGGTCGCAAACCCCCATTATGTTGGTTTTGTCATGACGCGGCTCATGTTTCTCCTGCATGACTCAAGCAATAAGCGATGTGTGTGCATAATATGACCTTTATTTGGGAATTTACGTAGATTTTAAGTGCTGTTTGCAATGTGTTAATCAATTTTTTTTAACTTCAAAATGACCTATTATTACTTTTATTATAAATAGATTTTCGAAATTCTTCATAAAATTTTGCATGAATCATTAGACATGCTGCTTAACTTTAATGTGAAAGTTTTCTAAGAACTCGTGTATACATTCGTGTTGTTTTTGTGTGTGTGTGTATTTTTTTCTTTTTTTTTTTTATTTCCTTATTAAACTTACTGACTTATCATGTCAAACCAAAAACACACAAATGATAAAAAAAACACAAGATGTAAGCGCTTCAAATAAATTTTACAGAGATGTAATTTTGAGTCCATGAATTTACGATTTCACCTTCATAAATTCACGATTTCAAAATCATCACAAAATTTCAATATCACAAAATGTAAAACTAATTAACAAAAAAAAACAATTTTCATATCGTTTCCTTGGTGCAGTATTAAACAGTTTAATTGTATTAACAAGGTTAGCTTTTAAAAAAGCTAGTAGCGACTCGCTTCGTAATTTTTTTTCAGGGGTGCGTTTAAATGTAAAAATGACAGTTCTGTTAGCTGAAGAGACTTCAGCGAACATCAAAATAAAAGTGACATAAAGTAATGGAAGCCAGTTTCACTCAGTTTAACAAAGAGGAATTTGAGTATATATGAAGATGCATGTAAACAGATAGAATGAAGTTCCTATGTCTATGCACATTTACTATATGGCCTTTTGACCTTGACCAAATAAATGTTAGATAGGTAGAATTCATTAAGGTCTCTTTATACGAAGTTAAGTTGTAGTCTTTGATTTTTCCAATTAATTAGGCATATAATAATAAGTATTGTGATTTTTAAGTTTGTTGATAAATAGCTCTAAATATATTTATATCCAAAGTTTAATTAACTTAACGTTCATTACATACAATAAAAAAACTTAACGTTTAATGGCCTTTCATTACGACAATAATCAACACAAATATAGTTTATAAGCTTTTCCTCTATATCTTATACGATCCCGGATCCCGGCCAGTCCGGGCGTCCCGGATCCCGGCCAGTAAATACATACACTAAATACCGGAAAGGATAAAATGACCGGAAAAAAGGAAAAAGAAAAAAATGCACAGAACCAGGTGTACACTGATGTTAATTAACAAAAACAAAAACTTACTACAGAGGAACAGGTGAAATCGCTAAATCAAAAGTCAGTGTTAATATGATTTATTGAAAAGAATTCATGAAAACAAACATTTTTAATCATCATAATATCTTTGCGCTCAAAACAATACTTGCTGCTTTTTAAATATGGCGTGAAAATTGAAGGTTTTTTGACGCTATGTAAGATTAAATTTGATTGGCTAAATAATTTTGGATCCTAGCCCTGATAGATAAATTTTTATAGAAAGCTGGAAGCCAAGCTTCGATTAAATATTTGGATAGCTTCGGAGTTTTAGGTTGTTTCTCAGTAAAATCCTACCGTAATACCGGCTCGCCGTGGCGAGCCGGCACCAGTTACTGCATTAAGGCGATGATATAGAAATTTGACAGAGATGTGCGATCCAATAGATTTATTGTGTGGTACATTGTGTAAATGGTGGATCTTATAAAAGGGACGTACATTTGCTAAATTATTGCATCCATTACATTTTGCTCTAGTGATAGCTTTTGCTTATAATATAAAATGCTTGTCTTTAAAAATTGTGCTCGTCTTTAAAAATTGTCTTATATAGTATAAAAATAAAGTAAATATCTAATCTTTAATTTCTAATTAATATTTTTATAAGCTCTTACAGAAACACCCGGTTTTATTGGATGCTACAAAGATATAGCAGGAAGAACTATTACTGATGCTTTAAGGCATAAAATAATGAAGAGAGATGCTTATGTATTAGAATGTATCAACTATTGTGCAAGAGCCCATTATAGATACGCCGGGGCAAAGGTAATGTAATAAGGTGTTAGTTTAATCATACTCATTTTAGATCTTGCAACTTACATCAATCACTTTTCGGTCTGCTTCTTGGACCCGAATAGGACTCGAACCGATGTTCCTTGGGTTGACAGGCAGATACTTTAACCACTCGGCCATCTCCCCCTTATAAGATGTAAGCTATAACTAGCGAATTATACTAGTAGTGTATATAAAAATCTGTTAAAATTACATTAAAGTTATTAACACAATTTGTGCCTTTGTTTGATTTTTATCAAGACAAATAATGTCAACAGTTTAAAGACAACCAGATTTCCCTGAAATGTAAAAACAAGAAATGTTTTAAATTGACTTGTCAAAAGTGTTTGTTATATAATAAGAAATCAGACAGGGCGCAGTGTTATTCTTTGGATATTATTGCAAAATTAACATATACCATTTAGATCACTTTCCATTTACTAGCCCGCCTCTTTCTATGCTTTATTTTACTATTCGTAAGGCAATTTTGTAAATAGACCACTATAATAAATGATCTAATTAACAATTAACGATATCTAATAATAATAAATAATAATTAATAATAATCTATCCTTTAGACGACCTTTAAAAACACATGGAATATCAAATTTGAATGAGGCCGGTGACTCTTAACAGTTTTCGCTTGAAATATTATCATGCAGAGTTGTAATAAATTCTATTGTGTAGTGTTCATTCTGTAACATGTATTAATGTGACCGTAGCATAAAACGAACGATTGAAAATCCCATAAAAAGCCCGATACTTTGTTCAGTATTTAATCTTTTCATGACTTTACTAAAAAGATTTTAATAAAATATGTGTTTATACCTTTTCATGAAAGTATCACAGGCAACACATGAACTGTTATTGTGGCAACAAAACACGATATCATAATGTTGAATCAAAGTGCGATTATTCTTGCCCAGGCAGCGGTAAAAAGGAATGTGCGGGAGCAGGAGAAATAACATTGTTTACAACTGTTTGTAAGTTTTTTTTGTTTCTTCAATTCTTAACGGTTATAAATATAACATAACTAAATTGTAGTTTCACATTGATGTACCAAGGACATTTTGATAAAGGGAAGTACATACTCGAATTTAAAACTCGTACGTCATCAATTTTCCAATGGCTCTCTTGTTGCGGCTAGGCTTTTTAAAAAATTGAATTAATACTTAAATGTATAATACAGTAATTATATAATATTTATTACTGAACAAAATTTTCTTACTCATAGTTATAACGTAATACAGTAAGAAAATTACATACATATCATTTATTTATTTATTTATTTATTTATTTATTTATTTATTTATTTATTTATTTATTTATTATTTATTTAAAAATAGTTAAAAGTTTGAAAAGCTTCACCAATTTGCTGTGGAATATCTTTCTTTATATTGCGCGCAATCAAAGGCTGACCTTACGTACGCCTTTTCCAGCCCTTCTATGTAAACAGTCGAAGAGTGCTGTGTTTTTCCGTTATACTGTCGCTGACGCGTTATATGGGAGAATATAGCACTGCTGACATGTATGAAATATATGTACCCTCGTTCATCGTATCAGAAACTTGTATGACTAATATACTTACACGCTCTACACAACTCCCTAATATAGTATCAAAAGATAGGACAGTCAATTTAGTATATTTAATGAGAGTAGATTCAATATCGAATTTAATTAACTCGTTCTAAAAATAAAAACATCAGTCGTGTACATAATCTATATCTACTTCACGCGTATCCAATTAAAAGCAGTATTACGGACATGAAGTATAACTTATATCCACTTATACAGAAAAAAACGGTAAACGGACGGACAGACGGACATTTATGTTTTAAAGACGAGCCGACTTTCTAATGTCTGTTGTATTTAAAGTTCATATGCAGTCGTCATGTTGAATGACACATTATACGAACAGATCAGATAATTGAGGATTTCAAAAAACAACAATAACAAAACACAGCTGTTTTCCATAGCATCTTATTTAATTTCGAACACTATTCGCTGAAAAGCGATGAATAATTATTTTAATAAATCTTCGAGGAATAGTTATAAGTCCCCAGCCTTGAATACATAGTTACACGTTTAGAATTCCTAAATATGTTGAACTGTTAGGTTGCATAGCCAATAGGTCATGCTTTTATTGGATTTTCGAATATCGATAACATGTGTTTTGTGTATTTTTAATTCTCAATTTACCTGTTTAAAAATTGTAACGTCTACTTTAGACGATGGAAAAGACGACGAAAGTGACGGTAAAAATGATGATGAATATAACAATGATGGTGACGATGAAAATGACGATAAAAATGATGATGAATATAACGATGAAGGTGACGATGAAAAAGACGGTGTAAATGACGATGGAAACACAACTCCAATTATCATATCTGTCATAATCCTTGTAGTCATAGCAACTGGGGCTGTCATTTTCTGGAAAAAATGGTAATTTATAATGTGGATAACAATGATTATCATAAATTATCACTAAAAAGATGCATTATTCACGATTTAAGTTTTTAATCCATCCTTATGGTTTTATTATAAGTTTTTGCATTTATATACAAGTTAAACGTTTAAATTAGTTTTTAGTTAACAAGACTTAAATAAGACTTAAGATATGTATGAGTAGCTTAGCTTTTAGTATTATAGATTTGTTTTGTTACAATAAAATTTGCATGTTTGTATGATTAAAGGCAAAGATGTCATAATGACAAACAACGATTCCCTGAAGTAAAGCCTGTCCAAAGAACAGCAACACAAGGAAACGCAATGTTCCAAAATCTTCCAGAAATATCAACGTCGATTTATTCAACCGAAACAGCTGACAACCCTTACAATTACACAGAGATAACAGATTTTCAAAATTCACCAACCAGTCCAAAACCTGTCCTTGATGTCTCTGAAACGATGTCAAAAGGCTTATATGACCGTGCTAATTCAAGACCACCTCTAAACGCACCAAGCCATTCGAATTACAATCATATTATGATCAACAAAGATGGATTGACTTCCGAAAACAGTTATTCGTGTACGGAAAATCTTCGTAGACATGAAGTTCTTCTATCGAGACTAGGGAAGAATAATGAAGGCACATATAACACGCTGACTGAGGATGCCCATATAAATGTAAACGGTGACTTATATAACCATGCAGGTGTGAGATTATTTTCCACCAATGTCAATAAGCATGGAAGCAAAGAATATTGCCATTTAACAAGCGTGGAGAGAGAACACAAATGATATAAAGAATATGTCGTAATAAAATTAATTTGATAATGATCTATTAAAGTGGACACAAAAAGCTGTGAAAGGGTGGCACTTTTTAAGATATTCATTTTTTTGTTAAGTTAGTCAAGTAAATCTAATCCCAATCCAAGCCCCAGGTGTTTTGCATTATGTTGCATTAAAACTGTGATTATTTGAATTCCAAAACGTATTCAAAACTGTAAAGCAAGCATACTTGTAAATCAAAAAGATATATTGTGTTTTATTAGCTCAAACTTTTAATTCGTCAATGTCCGTGTTTATCAAAAAGGGACCAACAGTGTTCAAACCGTTACAAATCGAAGTATACTTATTTTCACCTACAATGCGGTTAAAATATAATATAAATTTATGTGTGCTGGTTTGCTTTTAACATAGAGATACTCACATCTTTTGTAATACTCTATCGGTCGCTCCATTTAACATGCTTCCTTGGATATCAACCTACTGCCCTATCAGTGTTGTGTTGGTGAGTGACAAATGGCCATTAAACTCAATTTCCGAGATCAGTTTTCACGGCGACATTTTACCTCGGCTGATGATCAAATCATTAAATCTGATGCTCACATTATTGAGCAAGTACGCGGAAAAAACTTGCAGTAATTGCTTACAGTTTGACATGAACGATCTTTTAGGACACAATAAAAAGCATTAGAGATATAACTACAATTATAAACAACGTTGTTTTTTTAAATAATAAAATGTTAGTTAAATAATGGCCTTATTTCTTAGTTATACAAGTATTTGGTTGAAGTTGACGGTCATTCAATCAAACGCTTCAATCAAATAATTACTATTATGTTAGACATGTGTACATTTATCATACTTTATATATTTCACCACGTTCAAAATTTGATTAAAACAGATCTTAAACATTTTGGTGTCAAATCTTAGATAATTTATAAGGGAAACAACACAGACAACTTTGCAGAGCCCTTCTTAGCCTGTTATATCAGACCCTAGCGTTGTATTCTCTATTTGAGCTGCGTCATGACAAAACCAACATAATGGATTTGCGACCAGCATGGATCCAGACCAGCCTGCGCATCCGCGCAGTCTGATCAGGATCCATGCTGTTCGCTTACCAACTTTATAACAAGTGGAGAAACTGACAGTGAACAGCATGGATCCTGATCAGACTGCTCGGATGCGCAGGCTGGTCTGGATCCATGCTGGTCGCAAACCCATTATGTTGGTTTTGTCATGACACGGCTCATTTATTCGTAATCAGGCACAACGTTTATATACATGTATAGCTAGGTGGAATTGCCTTCATAAAAATGAAAACATCACTATGTATATTAAAATTATTCAAACACGCAAATTCTATTAGAAATAGAACATCAGAAACTAAAAGGTTTTGTATGTGCAATGTCACATGTGCTCTGAATTGAATATTTTAGAGTACTTTAACTTGCAAAAGTTGAAGAGAAGTTAAACCTTCCTAGGCACTACAGTATAGAAATTTAATAGTACTGTCCCCAGGAATATAGCTTTGGATGTTTAAATATTTTGAGTATCAGAAAGTTCTGAATCAACCTAGGCTATATGACCTTCTTTAAGACAAAAGTTTCATTATTTAGATCAGTTTTTCAGGGATGATGTATTTTTATACAAACTTTGTTAGATATGTCATAAAATTTGTTAATACTCGCCAACAATACTTTTCGGCTAACTGTAACACTTTACATCACACAGTATCTGAATGACAATAAATTGTATATATACAATTTTATCTTAAATAGAATATATGTTACAAGCTACATGTTACATTTCTATGGTCTCGGCTTAAGAAATAGTTTATATAACGTAATGTTTTACTTTTGAAAGGAATATAATTTTGTTCAGAATGATGATTATCAAAATATTATTAATTGTATTTCTAATCAATTGATTCAAGATAAGGTTAACCAATAATCCAACATAATTGACAATCGATATCATTAGCAAAGATAATACACGCTACCGCGTACATAAAGCACTGATTCTTTTATTGAAGTTATTGGTCTTGTCCTACACGAAATGTGCGGTGGGCTAGCAATAAAGGTGTCTGGCAATCAACACAGGGATCATAAGCTCGAGTCCTACTTGATCATTTTTCTCATATTACACAAGAACTTGTTAGTACCAGGAAGAAGGCTCGAGAGTGATAAACATAAGTTGCAATAACTTGTTTCTTCATCGACCTAAATTTCGTAAGTTTAAGCGAATCAAATTGAACAATTATTTTGAAATCCTTATTTCCAGTCACAGCGTGTCAGGAAAGCAGTGGAGTCCCTTTAATTTCAGATTTATATTTTTTTGTAAATTGCATAATTAATCAATTTATTTTTTCAATCTACATTGCGCGTGTTTAATTAATTTATTTGAGTTGCTATTTGAAATGATCTATTTTTGCATAATAAAAGCAGATGTGTCCCGAACGCAGAATTTGATTTGGCCTATTTGTTAAGAGGTAGGTGCGATGTCGTATTTGTACTATTATTTTATCAATGGTCTGATACTACGTCATCGCGCACCTGCCGAATGCTCCCACTTGGACCATTTTTTCGTCGACTCGAAGATTAATTACAATTTTATTATAAGAAAACGTAAGAGTTCATAACAATCATGTAGCGCACCAAAGAATGGCTATTGTACTTGAGATAATTGTGAAAAAGTTTATAGATTTATTGCATGGTTTAGGTCTGAACACGGGATTTAAATGTATCCATTTAAGTCGCAATTTTTCTTTCACTTGGTTTGGATTGATGCTGGAAAGCGGAAGTGTTGCAATAATATTACTTCTTCATGCTTGATATGTTATCATATAAACTATTTTGAGTTTTATATTGAAGTTATTTTAAGAACTGTTTTCTCGTCTTAATTTCTCGAAATAACACGAATTTGTTCTATTTGAATGTATATTGTAGCATTTTTATCTTTATTTGTATCAACGATACATATGTTTCCTTATTTGAAAGAAAATAAGACAAAAAAGTAATTTTATGTTTGTTTGTTTACATTTAGTTTCTGATAACTTTAAATGAATAATTACACATTTCATATACAATCTGTTGAATAAATCCTCTGTTGATTTTATGGTTAACTGCAATCTGTTATTTTTGCATTTAAAAGTTTTACAGGGTTTGTTTACATTTTGTTTCTGATAACTTTAAATGAATAATTACACATTTCATATACAATCTGTTGAATAAATCCTCTGTTGATTTTATGGTTAACTGCAATCTGTTATTTTTGCATTTAAAAGTTTTACAGGGGTTTTTTTTTTTTTAATTTTGCTATCTTGTTTAAAAAAGACTTCAATATACGCCCCTGGTAAACCCCATCGGTACACCTCGGACAGCTTTAATAGATATCAGGTTTAAACCTGTAACAAATATAATTACATGAAAACAATGGCGGTAGCGAATTACAGTAAACATTGAAAAAAAAAAGTTTAAAGGTAAGTCTTCGAAACAAGTTTGTTTATTTCTTTTTCATATCCCAATCAGGTGATTTGATAACAACCGAAATTCAGTGACTATAGAAATGGGCTTAAGAAAATCATTTTTTAAAACCGAAACTAGAAATTCCCATTTTGTAATTTAACGCTGATCATCGTAATGTTAAACATAAACTGATGGAGGTTTTAGTTGTACACTGTAATGCATAACTTACAAAGCAATACAACACATGCATACAGACCAACATTCTATTTCATATGAATCATCATGTTTCCCTCTTGCAATATTTCGACAGTATTATTAATGAAGATGCATAAAGTATTTGTTGGTAATGACTGCTTATGTTGTAGATAAAAGGTTCGATCGTAGATAACTAACAAAATTACCATTACTTCTGGAATTATTAAAAACCTAAGCACCCTAGTGTGTAGGTCTTACAGTGAAGAATCAGCTCTATTTTTACAGATATTATTCTCGGCGATGACCAATGAAATAGTGTACCTTTGAATAAAATTTTGTTGAGAAAGTATACTCTTTATCACTTCAAATTTTAAAAAATGTTAGGTCTCTCTTCTTTTGAGAATACAATTATTTCATGCAAAAAAAATCAAAAAAGAACACTTTGACAATTTATGAGACAATATGATTTTTACTGCCTCTTCATTATTTATGCTCTAGGATATTTAATATTTAAGCTTTATATACTTGGCACTGCACTTTTTCTCTTTAAATCATATTATGGCCTATGACCTTTTTACTTGTATTCTTCCTTGTGTAACAAGAGGTACAACTCTAAATTGAACATCAACATTAAAATAGCAGAGTTATTTTCCTTAAGATATCAACTAAGCCAGATTAAGGATTTTGATAATCGTTGATCATTCAAGCAGCCTAGTTACTCGCTGTCAGGTCTGGCTCTTTGTTGTTTGCCGTCTCGACAGTATTTTATTGAATATTCTGAAGTTGGTTTTAGAATATATTTGTAGAAGACAACATCTTTTAAGGAGGAAGATTTTGTCAAAAGGTTAAAATTAGGTTAAGTAAAAATGTAATGTTGGGAATCCTCCGTTTTGTTCTATGATAATGCAACCAATGTTGTGCTAAAATTAAATCTGACATTACTATCCTTTTACAATTTTGTTACGATTTTATTAAATACTTTACTAATTATCATTGTAGAATCTTAAAAGACAATTTGTGTATCTCTTTAAACGAACGTCTCTATATAGTGTATGTATATGCATTATGTTTTGTACTTTGAAAAAAAAAACACAAAAAAAACTGAAAATGATTTATAGTTATATATTAAAGTGAGACTCTGGAGAACATTATATTGTTTTATTCAACATATTCAATGAATGTAGTAGTGAAGCTACTATTTATCACATACCCAAAATAACTGTTTAAAGTAAAGATTATTATTTTTCATTGACGTGTCTATTGTGGAACGTTAACATTTTACGCTTATAGTGTATAACGTAAGTGACTTCACGTCAGAATATGCACAGCCGAGCAATACCGCCATGTTTAAAGTCATATTTATTATTCTCTGTATTTCGTTTTCATTTTCATTATTTATCCTCCATGGACAATTCTTTAGATGATTTAACGTCGGTGGTCCAATATAACAAAGGAAGAATAGCATTTTCTTCATTTAATCATGTAAACATAAATATTTTCCTTTACAGGATTGGTTATTGACAAGAATGTCTCTTCAACCCGATTTAGGAAATAAAGGCAATTGTTATTGGGTTAAAGCAGCAGTTGGTTTAAAATATTTAGGAGAAGGACTTTTCCCTTTTTGCGATAAAATTGTGAGACAACAGCATGCTAAAATTTTAGATACTGTGAAAAACAAGAACGGCGTCACAAAAGTTTTTTGTAATGAATGCTCAATCCAAAACCTTCTTCCAAACCATGAATCTAAAAAAGGCAATCCGTGCCCAAAAGGACGGAAGGAATGTAATTGCTGCATAAAAGCGGCTAAGGCATGTCCCAATAATGTATGCGGTGTTGTATATGACATTATCTTTGACAGTTATCGCGCATTACCACAACCTCCGTATTGGAGAAATACTAATGCGCAAAAATGGTGTGAGGATCCTTGGGCTATCGCCAAATGCTTCATTAATATTAATGGATACGCAATATTGGCAGCCGAAGACATTGACTCAATAGGGCTGTTGAGTCTAATTATTAACAACTCTGAATTCCACCAAAATGAAACAAATAATCCTATTGATGGAGATGATCCACTATCGAAGGTAATATTTCTTGATTATTTTCTTTTATTTTAATTTTTCTTTTATTTTCTTATATTTCATTTTGCCAATTTTAAGATATTATAAATGGTGACTTTATGTTTCTATGTTTCATTCACAATTTTGATACATGTATTAACTTTTTGGTATCATTGCTCCATTTACATGAGCAACAGCAAGATTGCTGCTTTCGCCATTTGTTCGGATATAAATCGGCTGATGACAAAATAAGTAAGAATAAATATTGAATTTGATCCATTTGACTTTTAAGGTAGAACGCGACACTTTGCGAACTTTCGAGTAACGTCTTGAAAATTGGCATGCAGAAAGTTGACCATATTTCTGAATTGATTCCGTTGATTTTATTTCAATAGTTTCAGCCAATTTTTGTACACACGACGTCGAAATTGACCATCAAAGCCCGTTTTTGAACATGACGTCGTTGCGTATCCTTGGCAACTGTTATGGGTATTTCAACGTCATTGGCGGACAAAATATCTAAAATTCTACAGCATTTGACGGAAATTATATTTTCTTTTAAGGTGGTGTAAAATTTATTGTTTAACGCCGAGAAATCTTTGAGAAATGGAAAGAATACTGTAAATTTTGTGTAAAATTTGACGTTCAGTTTAGCCGAAATTTTCTACTTTAAAGCGGCTTATTAAAAAATCCCTGAAATAAAGTTTTGATTTTTTTCTTTAAACGTCCTTTAAATGTATACTTAGTCAAAATAACTAATAAAATTAGGGGATCACCGACTCAAATTTTTCGGTACACGTGATTTTATTTCCCCCAGCCCGTGAGTAATTTTGTAACGAAATTCGACGTATGCAGATACGTTTGAGAGTTCAAAGTGCGTTAATCATGAAGTCACCATGTATAATATCTTAAAATTGGCAAAATAAAATATATATCTTAAATACATATATAAATACAGCTGCCTACAGTATAGAGCCTGATCCATTTACAGGGACCTTTGTTGCATATGCTTGTTAATTCGATTTCCAGCAGGTTAAGGTAAATTTGTTTCAATCAGTTATTGTCACTATTAAATATTTTACTTTGAATATCTATATTTAACAATTTTTTATATTTACAGGTTAAAGTACATAGGAATAATATCTTTCACTCAAGCTCCATGGAATTAGACAAAGCTGTGTCAGACAGTTATATTGATGACATGATAGGCGTTTTGGAATATCTTGATGAACTAAAAGAGAGAACTGAAGCGAAAAATGCAGTTGATAAGCTTAAAAAAGTATGTAAATTGACACCTCTGTCAATGTTGTTGTTGCTATATTTTGTTATTGTTCTTGTTGTTGCCGCTTCTCAGTTGCTGCTGCAGTTAAACTACCAACCTTCCTGCTACTGCTACAACTGCTGCTACAATGTACAACAATTTCTATATCACTAACAATGATATTTCCACAAGTGGTTAATAAACTGATGAACAAGATGAATGATAAAACGATATTTCATATACCGTAGGGCTTTTTTTCAGATGGTTAGAAGTTTTGCAAAAAGAGAAATGTGGTCAATGCAGATCAACACCAACCAGATATATTCGTATATTTTGGTCATGGCTTGCATGGTTTAAAGGTTCCATTATAACCGCAATATAAAAACATCAGCGAATGTTTCAAAATTAAGAATTTTACCAGTTCTTTTTAAATACATGTATTGAATTCTGCTAAAGCAGTTGCTCGGGAGCGGGACAGTTGCTTGCAATTACCATTTCCGTCCATGAACAGGTTAAATGAAAACGAGATTGCAACATTTTTAGTTTTGCCGTGTTGGCCTTTTTGGGGGGGTTCTGTTTTTCACTATTTTTACAGTGTTAAGTACATACTTATTGTCCTTTAAATCAATAAATATTCTTATCAAGATTAAAAGATGGACATGTCCTTTTAGGTAAAGATTTAAGTTAAGATTTGAATTATTTCACGCAGGTAAAATAACATTCTCAAATATGTTGTAAATAAAAACGTTCTAATTTATGTATAAATTTGATGTATTTATATACATGAACATGTCCAATTGTGTGAACACCGTATATATAGGGAAAAACTTGCTTTTAAAATTGAAACACGTTTCAAAGACAAATAACTTTTCAACAAGAACACACAAAACTTAGTGCTCTATTGAACTCGATGGAATGTAATTAAACTTTAAGTATCTTCCTGCCTTTTTCTTTCTACGATTTAATACTTATAGCTTAAGCAAGATGACTACATCATCACCACACAAGACAAGCTACACGCTTTATATGATGCACAAAAGATCTTGAATGATGGTTATCAAAGTCTTCACGAGAGAGTTCAAACCCTGGAAGATGATAAGAAAAGGGTATTTATATCACATTTATTAATACGACAAAGGTCTTGACCTTTTAAGGCCATATCTGTAAAGGAGATAATGTTGTACATTTTGTACTACTGTGTTCGAATTAGAATTGACTGCTGTTTAATTTGGCGGTATTGTATATTCTTATCGATAGCGCTTTTTTGTAAACGCCGCAATTTTAAAACAACAGATTACCAAATATTATGCTTCTGTAAAATCTAACAAAAAGAACTACATGTATATTGTTATATATAGTAAATTTACAAGTTTCTTAATTAGGAACTTTAACAAGTTCCATAGCAACATTTACAATTACATAAAAACATCTACATGTTGCACTCAAATAACCCCATTTCAAAAATCAAACATGGATGCAATTGTTTCACATTCAAATGAAAATTTTGTTTGATTTAAGACATGTTTAATTCTTGGTAAGCTTACAGAATCTTTCAATAAAGATTATTAATAAACTGATCAAAAGTTCATAATAGTATCTTTTACATGTGATTTTCACAATGGTATCAATAAATTAATCAACATGGAAACTTTATTATAGGAACAATCATTAAAAGACATCCAGGCGGCAGTTGCTTACCAAAAATCAATATTAGGTAATTGTTAAGATTTTCATTACTCAATTCATGTTATCTAGATCTAGAAGTGGCATTATATGTTGTATACGTTCGGTAGGATTTATATATTATGTAATTTATGTCGTTTACTGGTTCTTCTAACAAACATTAAAGTCACTTACCAAGTTAATCTTTATTATTTCTTTATCTGACGTGACTTCAGGCATGGGTTTTCAATATGGTTTAAAGATTGTGAAACCTCGTATATCTTTAAAAAAAAATATTTTTATTATTTTTCTTTTAGATTTTAAAACCAAGCTGATAAATCTCTACAGAAGCAGCACATTACGCGTGAATCCAATGCCTTTTCAGACAGACCAAGAATATTGCAATTTTCAAGATATCTATGTAAAACCACATATTATTCTTAAATCAGCTGATGATACTGGGAGAGATAGAGAAATTACATCAATATCTGATGTGTTTATGAATGACAACAAACAGGCGAAATCTGTTTTTGTATTTGGAGAGGCAGGATCTGGTAAGACTAGTTTTTGTTTAAGTTTGGTATATTTTTGGTGTATGGCACACTCACCAGAAGGGCAGATCAATGACGGATTTCGAGGAATGACTGAAATGAAGAAGTACGAATTTCTGTTCTACGTTTCCATGCGCCACTGTCACGATACACGAACAATACATGACATGATCATAAAGCAGTATAAAGACAAAGAAGATGTCATTAAGGAACTTTTACATAAAGAATCTGATAAACTCTTAATCATATTAGACGGTTTAGATGAATGGACGACGGAGCCGGTTCCAACAGAATTAAGTGACCAGTTTCAAATAAAACACGCACCAGTTCGTGACTATCTTAAAGATTACACATTAGTTGAAACGTCAAGACTGAGGCAAGCAATGACAAAAACTAAGTCAGAACGGTGCATTGAAATCAAAGGAATTTCTAAAGAATCTGTTTCGTATGTAATAGAGAAAACAATCAATCATTTTGATAAAAAATTGAAAACAAGCAAAGATGCCAGTCGGTGTGAGAATGAGCTGAACGATATTAGCTATGAAGATATGAAGTGCATTCCATTAATGTTGCATTATTTGATATGTCTATGGTATGACAACAAATTGGTGAGTAACTTTTTAGCTGCAATATTTGCAGAAATATTAAAACGGTATTTTGACTGGTACATTAAAAAAAATAGAAAAGGTCCACAGTATGAAGAACTAAGGCGGAAAATATCAGAATTAGCATACAAAATGGTTGTAAACAGGACACCTTCGTTACCCTTTGACGATTCCACAAGAGCGGAACTGAAAATATCAACGGAAGATTGGCAGTGCATGATGGATCTTGGAATACTATCAAAAGAACGAGGTCGGATTATGTGTGTTAGTGAAAGTCCAAAGGAATTGGTTTCTTTCGTTCATAAAACTTTACAGGAATTTCTGTGTGCTCTGTATCTTGAAGATGAATGTAATACAGATCTTGATGCAGTTGTTGACTTTTGTGAGCACTGGATCATTCAAGATATATTAGATCATGCTAATATATTTGTGTTCCTCTTTGGTTTACAGCCTGAAATCTCGAAAACTATCTCATGTTCCATTTATAACAAATGCACGGATGACACACATATAAAAGAGTATAGAACAGAAAGAGGATTTTCATCTAAGCATTGTAAACTGGTTTCCGATATCCAGAACTTTATCTTAAAATGTGTCACAGAAATGAAGAAAAGCCGAGACAATTTTAAGCCACAAATTCATTTGGGAGATGTAGTTGTTAATGATTATTTCATTTGTGATGAATACTTCTGCACGAGTCTTGATGAAGAATATATCATACCCGACCGTGTACTGTCTATCAACGTCGATATTCACAAAGATGATGAGAACTTATGCAGTGTTTTCAAATACATAGCTAAATGCTGTAAACTTGAAAATATGTCAATCCAATTATCTGACGATTATCCCGGCGAGGTTGAAGATGTGGACAATATCTATTCTAGCTTTAATTTAAATGCTTTGCAACTAAAATCTCTATTTCTTACTTGTAAATCAAAAGAAAAATATAGTGCAATACCGAGATCTTTGGTCCGTAAACTTCCGAATATGGACAAATTGATGGTTATCGAAATGGAAGATGTGATTTTGGCAGATAAGGACTGTGAGGAGCTCTGCAAAATAATATCTGACAAAACGCAGTTGGAGAGGTTATCACTTAGAATGTTTTGTAAATGTGGAACACAGCACGCTCTCGATCTACGCAGACACCTGCATCTGAAATACCTAAGCCTTGACAATGCAGTAAATGTTACATTTCCGAATTGTTCAAAACTTACAACATTTAAGTTCTCTGACATTAACACCACCAATTATATGAATATATTTGAAAGTCTGAAGACAGCAGGACATCTTTTAGAGCTTGAGTTTAGAAGTATTAAACGCATCGAGTGTGATAAAGAAGAAAATGTAGCAAAATCGCTTGAAGGGTTGCTTCAATCTCTGACACAGTTGGAAATCTTAAAACTGTACAATTTGGCTTTCTCAAAAAATGTACTACGAATGTCAATTAAAATAAGGCACTTAAGGGCGATTCATTTATATGATGACCAGATGAGCTCTGAATCAATGCATGCTTTTTGTGACGGTTTATCTCTTGGTGAAATTGTTGTATACCTGAACTCTGAGCGGCTTTGAACTAGTATTTGTTATGTCGGATAAATTTACGTCATACTAATTTCGGGACGGCGTTGGAAGAAATCACGTTCAGGATGTATGTTCAAGTGTATATGGGAAGATTATGAAGCGTTGCATCATATAATTAACGCACCAGATAAACTCAAAGTAATTGAATGAAGAAGAAAGATGCGGAAAACTCAGGTCGGCACAACGCAAAACAGAAATAATGACAGTGTAACTTTTAAATCTCGAACATTTGTGGAACTAGCTAAAACGTTAGCATTTTGGGTGTTTCCGGAATTCCGAAGTACGAAATTATAACATGAAAAAACAGTTGTGTTAAGACTTTCTGTAAATATATGAAACTTATAAAAAAATGACATAGATTTATTATTATTGACCTGTGGCCGGCATTTTGATATAATAAGATAAAGTAAAGTTATCACAATTTATCCTTTAGCTAGTTTGATGTAGTACCAGGTAGTAAATAAAATATGCTTCTAAATTTCTTAAATTACATACTTATTTATATCAATAGCATTACATGCTTGACATGTTATTATTCTTATAGGTGACAAGCTAAATGATCACTGCTTATTGGGAGATACAGACAAATTGCAGGTTTTACAATTTCATGAATGCAAGATAAACAAACTAAGGCCATGTGCAGATTGATACCATGTATGAATCAGTAGACATAAAAGGCTGATTATGTCTCATTGTCGGTATTTTGTTCCCATATTGAAATCCAACTTTTTTTTTAAATGGTAGCACATAAATATTGCGATTTGTAGCCATTTTCAGATTTGTCTGCAGTCATGCTGTAAACAAAATTAACACAGGTTAACAAATAAATTCATTTACAAAATTAAACTGACGATTATATTAATCATCAGCATAATAAAATGTTGTTGTTGTTTTTTTTTAATTTCATGTTTTACTTATATACTGTTTCATAAATTATGTTTATCTATTTTTCTTTTTGCAAAAGTAGCCTTGATAAAATGTGTAAAAATGTATATATCCTGATATTTTTTCTAGCCTTTTTCAGTTAAAAATACCTCTTATTGCATATTCATAGTTTAAGTGGTATTCAACAATAAAAGTTTTATAATTTATGACCCCGAAGTACCAGAAAGATATACAAACACTGACAGATTTTTTTTTGTTTTCCGTGAGACTGAAAGCTTTGGTAAGAAAGTGTGGCGTTGAAACGTTCTGACGTTTAGTTACATTACTCCTTGGTCATCAAACATAGTATTTTGCCGCAAAAAGTAATCAAAGTTGTAGAAAACACACCTTACTGTCTTGATATTAGTTACTTTATAACTTTTGCCGAGGAAAATAAGTTTTAATCTTAAACGTTCGAAAAGCAAGATGATGATCAATTAAAAAGGATGTCTTGATATTATATCTGAAGATAAACTTTTTTGCAGCTGAAACAAAAATAGAAATGTGATGATCGGAGCATGTATCAGGACAAGCACTTGTACTGACTAAGACGTATGATTCATTTCCATCAGGGAAGTTAATTTATATATGAATGAATTGTTACATTGTTATCACCGACGGTTTTAATGGTTTTGACCTTTTTTCTACATACATGTAATACAAAGTTTTCATAGGAAAATTGATTGATTGATTGGTTGTAGTGAATGATGAATTTGGTTACACAGATATATCATTTGGATAGCGATTATATAAATCTTTACGAATGGTAGAGACTTGAATTGTTTGACATTTTATAAACCTGTGATCAAATTTTGTTAATTAAGTAAAATCATATCATTATTTCTTTCTCCTGTATTTGAATCTTCATATGAACATCGAGTATCACATTTTACCACATAGAATGTGCTGCTTACATGGTTGTTTAGTGTTTGTTATACCGACACGGTTCCATTATCAGGACTCTCTTTCATTGCCATTAGTATGAGTCAATGAAAATTAACAGTTCTTCATAATAGTGTTATGGCCGGAGGTAGTTAGGATTACCAAGAAAAGTTCAAAGATAATAGTAAATGTACTCTTTGTATAGTCTATGTACATTTATCATCAGCCTTAAAATTACTTAAAGAATTATCACCATATATGCAGTTGCAGACGATAGTAAATCGACAAGTGAGAGACAGATCTACGGTTCTACTATCAGTGGACACAACTAAAATACTATAAATACCCTTCAACTAATGGACTACAGTAAGGTGATATCATATAAAATTCAATGAACGGCAAATTGTAGATATTGCAGGTACCCAGTCACTTTCTCACATCCTTTGTATTACGGGGGTGGAACACCATATGGATCTGAGCATCGGTTAAATATCTTTGAATTTCCGCTCATCCAGATGTGAGGTATAAGTCGATATGTGAAGCAGTAAATGTCATATGGTATTATGGCTTTTACAAATTAACAATAAGTTATTTACAAGAAAACAAGTAAAATTATGAAATACATCTATTTGTACAGTAACATCATATTTTCATAGAATACAATGACAAACAGAGACCAATCTTCCTATTATCAACAAAGTACGATACTGAACGAAACTAGTTACAGGCGCTTCTTAAAATAAAACAATATTCGAAGCATTAAGTGATTTGTCCGTTTCTGAGTCATAAATCTTTCAATTAACTCAGATCTAACATGAGTAATTATCACGTAAATGTAAATATTGCAAAGTCACCTTTTGTAATGACCACCACAACAAAAATGTTGCAATGTATCATAGGACAATTGAGTTTCACCAACACTCTTTATAAATTATTTTGGAATATTGCCTTAGTATAAACATTTTGCTAAAGTAAATGCCTTTATATTCATCAATTGTGTGAACTGTTCAGAAGAGTATATGAAACTAGAACTCCGCGAGTCGCCTTTTGAACAATATAGTTTAGTTGAAATGGCCAGGACAAAAATGAAATATGAAAATTAACAAAGGGCAATAACTCAAACAATAATAAGTGCAGAGCAGCAGATTCTGTGCACTGCACTTCTTATCAATAAGATCTATCATTCTATGAAGATTCAAGTCCATATCTAACTTTTAACTTATGAGAAATGGCCTGGAAAAAATAAAGTATGAAAATTAATAAAGGGTATTAACTCAAAAATTAAGAAATGCAGAGTACTGGTTCCTGTACATTGCAATTTTTCTTAATGAGATCTATCATCCTATGAAGTTTCATGTCCATAGCTTTCATACTTGAGGAGAAATGACCTGGACAAAAATATAGTATGGGAATTAACAAAGGGCAATCACTCAAAAAAATAAGAAATGCAAAGTACCGATTCTTTTGCACTGCACTTTCTCTTAATCATCCTATGAAGTATCAAGTCCATAGCGTTTATTTTTTCGGAGAAATGGCCCGGACAAAAATAAAGTATGAAAATTAATAAAGGGCAATAACTCAGAAAATAATAAATGCAGAGTACCGGTCCTTGTGCACTGCACTTCTTCTTAATGAGATCTATCATCCTAGGAAGTTTCAAGTCCATAGCTTTTATACATAAGGAAAAATGGCCCGGGCAAAAATAAAGTATGAAAATTAACAAAGGATAATAACTCAAACATTAGGAAGTGCAGAGTATCGGTTCCTGTGCACTGCACTTCTTCTTAATGAGATCTATCATCCTATGAAGTTTCAAGTCCATAGCTTTTATAGTTGAAGAGAAATGGCCAGGACAAAATTAAAGTATGAAAATTTACTAAGGAAATTAAGAAGAGCAGAATACCGGTCAACGACACGACGCCGACACCGCCGACGCCGCCGACAAAAGTAACCCCTATATTACAAAAATGTAATGGCAGTCTGGAATTTCTTTCACCTTAATATCTAAATCACAATCAGTTAAACAAACCAATGCGCTTTTAAACAACATATTACATTGTCGCATTGCACTCGTGAACAATGTAAAGATTACCATCCGGGTCAAGAACATAATATTCATGTTCCTTACTGTCACAGAGATCAGGAGCAGCTTTTCGAGGAGCATCCTTATTCGAATGTTTGTCTTCTACAACTTTAAACCGATTCTCTTTGTTGGTTTCAAATTTTGGTAAATTCAAGTGAGAATAGCCATCTTTTCTTTTTGGAGTTGTAAAAGCATCATTCGCAATCATCACGTGATCGTATGCTGGTCTGTTTTCGCTCGTAATGTTTCCCGTATTTGAGTTTACACTTTGTCTGACTGTATCGTAGCTATTGTTATCAGAATTTGAATTGCCTGTAGCTGGGATATCAATATAAACCGAACTATACCAATCCTCGGGGAGTATCATCGACTGAGTACTATATGGTGATATTTCTGAATAATAATCATTTGTACTTGGCTTTGCAACTTCAACTAGTCTAGCTCTTGCACCGGCTTTTAATCTCATAAAATCTTTTGGTTTATTTTCTGCACCATCGTATACGCGCCAAAAGACCTTACCTGTCCTTTTTGTTTTACCATTATGTTGAATATCAGCAATTTGTCTTCTCCTACAATAAAAATGTTAAATGATAAACTGAAAATATATAAATAATTGTGTCTGTCTGTTTGTCTGTTTCTTAATTAATTTCAAATCTGGCGGTTGTTTGTTGTTGTCGTTGTTTTGATTTTACAAAATACCGTCAGAAGCCGAATGAGATTATAAGCATAAGATATGAAAAATTATAAAAAAATATATGATTAATGTAAAAGAGTTTGAATTCCGGTACTATCAACTAACCTCACGATGAAGACAGCGGTAAGAGCTCCACCAGCAACAGCCAACACTATCACAATAGGGAAGGAGACATAAATCCCAACGAGGTCATTCCCGGAGTCTTCTGTGAATAACATTTTCATAAAAAATAACAATCAGTAATATATACATACCTTTTTTTAAAAAAAACTGTAAGATGAAAACAGCACGATTTTTGATGATGATGATACTACAATAATAATTGAAATAAAACAAAATGTGGGGATGGTCTTTCAGAGAAGAAGCCAACTAATTACAAACACCAGGGCGACTGACGGTGACATGAACATTGAATTGAATGGAAAAAACAAGAAAATTATAAAATAATTAGTAATACGTATGTTAACTTTTTTTCTTTCTTACAGCTACAAAACTAACTGTAAGTAAATTAAAATGAGTGATGAAGTTATGATGATTTAAGATTCTAAAACAATCCAATTGTTGAGGGCGTCTTTGAATGGTACCAAATGCACTTCAAAGCTTGTTAACATGTATGAGAAATAATCATAGGAATGGTGTCGGTCAACATCAAATTTATATATTCATTTGATTAATAACAAGAGAGCCATGATGGCCCTGAAATTGCTCACCTGAATATGAAAACACTTCATGACAAGGAACAAGTAATATTGTAAACTATAAACAAAAGCAGATATAAAATCTTAAACTGATATCACAAAGTTATATCTTGAAATGGTACATGTGTAAAAAACATTACTGGTTGCTACTGCTAAGGGAAAACAACAGTTCCAAAAGATTTGTGCCTAAAAAGGAAAATGAATGAACCATGAGGCGGACCAATTTTGATCCCAAGGCTTTTATTTAAAAAAAACTTTGGTAGACACTCATTAGAAGATGATTCATGCTAAATGTCTCAGCTCTAGCTGTTTGGGTTTTGTAAAGGAAGATTCTTTTTTGTTTTTACTTATACAAATAAGGAAAATCAATACCCCCACCTTGGGAGGGGCCAGTTGTTACATCAGGGCTTTTATTTGAATAAACTTAGAAGACACTCACTAGAATATGTTTCATGCTTAATATCTAAGCTCTAGCTCTTTCGGCTTTTAAAGAAGAATTTTTAAGTTTTTAAAATACACATATAAAGAAAGGTAATAACACCCGGGGGTATTTTAACCCTAGAACTTTCATTTGAACAACTTTGGTAGACATTCAATAGAAGATGTTTTTAATAAAAATTCATAAGCTCTAGCTCTTTGGGTTTTGTAAAAGAAGATCTTTTTAATTTTTTTTCTTTCGGTTGCAATGGCAAGCAGAGCTCTGCATTTATTTAAATTATTTTAACAAGTTCAAAGATGACCACCAAAGGAACATTCCTGTGAAGTTTGGGTGAAATTTAGCGGTTAATTAGGAGATGTCGTTTAAATTAAAACTTTATGGACGAACGCGGACGGACGAAAGCCGGACGAATTGTGATCACAAAAGCTCACCTTGTCATTTTGTAACAGGTGAGCTTAAAATAGAAAATGCAATAAAAAATACATTGCAGTGGAGAATGAAGGTAAGTTGAGTTATCAATACAGACAAAAAGTACAGCGACCATTAGTCAGATATTATAATGGTTTTTGAACAAGATATTTTTTCGCTTCACGAGCTGTTTGTTTTGAAACTATTGCTTACCTACTAGCCGTTGGTTCATTAGTTTTCATGGGCGGTCGGATAATAATTCGATGTACATGCGTTTTTCGTTGTACTAGATGAATGAAACAAATTTTGCATTGAAGACACATTGGATCCTTACATGTCTCAAAAGAATGGTTTAGGTCATTTAGGATTACTGAATCCTGGTGCTCCCATATTGAAATTGACGTTGTAAAGCAACAGAGTTTCAACAGAAGACATAAAAGGTTTGTTTAAACAGATCGATCCTTGAATTGATCAGCTTGATCAGTGACTACTTGCATGCAGTGTAAAGAAATAGACGACCTCACTTATGAAGGTCGACCGAAATAAGTTCGGAAGTTACCGGGATTTTGGTTGAATTGGCTGTTGTAACATTAGCAATATACTACCTGATGTTGAGAGTTTTGCAGTGGTAACAGCTGATGTGTTTGTAGAACTTGAAGGTGGTCCGGTAGTCGTAGATTCTGTACAAAAGTAAAAATACATATAAATTGTATTGAATATTTTGAAAGAATCATGTATGATAATATAAACGCAAACTGTCACAATAGACTATTATGAAATAATCACGAAGGCATCTATTCAGCATAGCCTCAGTGACACGAAAGTGACATCCTAGAGTTATGATCACTAGGATATTTGATGGGTAGCGGTGGTATAGTGGTTTATGCGTCTGCCTCTCAACTAAAGGATTATGAGTTCGAGCCCGACTTAGGTCACGACCATGTTTATTAATATGACACCAGTAAGTTTGTTGGCTCTAGGAAGTGGATCTGAAAGAGATTATAATAATATAAGTTGCAAGAACCTATTTCACAAGTGAGTATATATGTCATTGTTTTAACTTGTGCATAGGTAGATTGTCTTAGAATGAGCATTTGTGTTTGTATAATGCTTACTTAAATTGTATTAAAGTGTAAATAAAATATATGAATTGTTTTAGATGTGCACATCTGTATTGTTTTAATATGAGCATTTGTAAATTGTGTTGAAGTGAACATATAGAATTTGTATTAATTATGTATTTGCTTGACATGCCAGAAAACATTTGTATACATTGCAGGTACTTTGTGTTCGACCTTACTATTGTATTATGTTTTAAGGCTTCAAGCCATGTATGGTGCAACATGTAAGTCGGTTAGAAATAATACTAACAAATATATGACAACTTAAGCAAAAAACACATGAAATGTTTAAATAGTAAAGTGTATCTAGCCAGTAAGAGTTCGATGCAATCTGAATCACTTAGTGTTTTCTGTTGTTGTTTTTTTGTTTGTTTTTTTTTAATTCCATCATTACCGAATTAAAATATAAAATGTCTTCCTCATATTTGCCGTTGAGTGAGGAATCTAAATACTTGAAAGTATCTACACTTGATCTTAGTTTGTATATACTAACTTTAAAATAATACGAAAATTACTGCGGATTTGAAGTATTTTGAAATATTCAAATTTGGTTAATGTTATTTACTGTTGATGAGGTCAGTCAATACCTATATTGGACGTCCCATTCTTTTCAAGAAAATTAAAACACTGTTGTCGTCAATGAAGATCGATATTGGACGTCCCGTTTCTTTAAGAATTTAAAAAAATCATTGTGACTCTATTGGGATTTTCACGGTTGGAAAAACAAAGCAAAAGTCAATGCGTTTAATTTGCTATGTTCACACTTCACAAATATGCAAATATGTAGATATATATGATATATGTAAATAAATATATGTGAGAAATTCAATGTATATGTTCAATGTACATGTAAACATATATGAGAAATTCAATGTATATGTATAAATATTGTTATAGTATTTCAAAATGGTACCAGAAACAATCATTATGTATTGTTTGTAACATCATCGGGAGAACTCAACATTTTTACAATCGCGAAAATACATTACTTTTATGAATATTGTGTCTCCAACACAGAAGTAAATAACAAAACATTATCGTGAACAATTATCAGCACTTAAAGTATTTCTTAACACCATTATTTACATCTACAAATACATTCAACTTACTCAGGAATGAATTAAATCTTTGTGGTGACAATTTGACAGTGAAGTCGGCATTTTGGTGTCGGTAAATTTTGCAAGTGTGAAAAGTACAATCAAAGGTATCAGACTGCAATAAATATCTAACAGTACCTATTCGGGACACCTATCCTAAATGTGTAACTCTCGTATCGTTTACTTTGTGTATAAATGAAGAATTCTAAATCTAAAACTAGGCTGCGGATCATTTAATTTTAGTGTATTGATAAACTTTTGTGACGTAAAACGTCCGCAGCTCTTTCCGTGAATCTGATTGGTTCGTAACATTCCGTAGTCTATTTTGATTGGACAAAGACTCTGTACCATTGAAGTAGTCCGCATTTTCCAAAGGAACGGAATTCTTACGCATTTGTCTATATATTGAGCGTCGCAAAGCATTCTGTGGCTTACTGATGATTAGAGAGTTGATAATTTAGTTAACATTCTATGCAATCCGCATACATTTACTCCGCAGACACCACAGCATTTGTTATGTGAGTAATATCCGCAGCTTCCGCATTTAAAAATAATCCGTAGTAACATTAACTTCCGATATAAACAAAAAACATCCGCAGCTGTCAAAATCCGCACCTTATACAGTACGGTTTAAAACTGTGTAGATCTACATATAAATAGTCTATACAGTATAGTAGCTCAGCTACTTTAATTATATCAGAAAGTACATCTCCTTTGGAATAATAACAACAACAAGTCTACATAAGTTTTTGCTATTTTATTGCTAGATCTTTTATTGACAGAAAATAAAAGCTATTTCAATCTACCAAGGGCATACAAATTAGAATTAAAACAAGGACACAGAGCTTTTGTATAATTTATTTATCATACAATACGCTCATACGATAAACTTGGAATATATTTCAACGTTTGAATAGTTAAAGTTTAAAAGAGTTATATATATACATATATTAAAATTGATTAAGTTTCAATATGTTTCTCTTATGTGTTCAATAGTACTTATGCACCTGTGTGCAAGGATTGTATTTATTTAAAGGTGATTTCGACATCACTACCGTATTTAATATAAAAGGAGTATCCCAATGTGCAGTGTTCATGTGCCTTATATAATTGTTGAAGAACAGGTGACTGGTCTATATTAGATGGCCTAGGTAGTCAAGAATAAAAATAGAAGTGTGCCCTTTTCCAATATTATACTATTTAGGTTGAATACCACTAAATTAAAATATGTATTTCTACAAATAATCTTCAGAAGTAAATCCTCATCAATTTTAACGTTATATAGTGCTAACGTTTCCGCGCCATCCCTGACAACGACACTCGGAGACGCCGGCATTTTTATAACAATATATATGAGAAATTCAATGTATATGTAAATATATATGAGAAATTCAAAAGAGAATACGAAATTTGGAAAATGACAACAGAACAATCAAAACAACAACAAGAAAAAATAGAAAATAAACAAAACAATACTCACGACAGACTTCTATTGCAGTCATAAACAAAATGAAGAAAGCTAAAAAATAATTAAAAATGTCCATCATGAAGTGACAAGATTCACAATGTTACGAAATTAAAAGGAAATTTAATGGAATGAAAATAGGGACAAAGTGTTTCATTTTGTTACTCATTCATAACAATGAATAATCTCATTTCCTGCGTTTTTATTTAATTGAGAGAAAAATAAAAACTTCACAACATTGCTCATAAATCACTTGTCTTTGTTGCGTTTCCTGTTATTCAATTATGAAAAGAAACAGTGTATATGTTTATAGTACATGACGTAAAACAATGTACATACAAATTGCTGGAAGAAGTTCATTTCATTTGAATGGTATCATTTCTTTGTTATTATAATCATTTTTGTCATTGTCATTACATGCTTTTAAATGGACAGAGGAGTTATATATTTGAGCCGCGTCACGACAAAACAAACATAGTGTGTTTGCGACCAGCGTGGATCCAGACCAGCCTGCGCATCCGCACAGTCTGATCAGGATCCATGCTATTCGCTTACAAACCCAATTACAAGTAGAGAAACTGATAGCGAACAGCATGGAACAGCGGATCCGCACAGTCTGATCAGGATCCATGCTGTTCGCTTACAAACCCAATTACAAGTAGAGAAACTGATAGCGAACAGCATGGAACAGCGGATGCGCAGGCTGGTCTGGATCCATGCTGGTCGCAAACCCATTTTGTTGGTTTTGTCATGAAACGGCTCATTTGTAATTTCACAGTGAAATTATGAAAAAATAACTGTAGCCGGACAGCACCTGAATCGTATCGATCTATTCAGGGAAATATACATAACACATACTATATTGTCACATATATTGACATTCATATAAAACAAACATTAAAATGCAACAAAAATATAATTGTAAAATTAAGTATGTTTTATGTTACCCTGCGAGTGCCTATTAAGCCCATTAAGTTAAAAGCTTATTTCAAATGTGGTCCAAATACTGTACTTTGAACACACATTAAAATTATAATAATAAATACATACTCATGAAGTTCAAATAAATAAAATAATTTTGCCAACATTGTACTACAATCAAGACATATTTATCGATATAAAAAGGCAAGATTTTCAAGATTTCAAGATTTTATTCAAAACCAAGGCATATAATATGCATAAGGTTTTGATATATCAACAATATAATGAACAGTTATTCAAAAGTGATTAACAAAACATATATACATAAAATTATATAATAATGAGATCAATTTGACTAACACATATCGGTATTTGACTAAACTTTACTCTTTGGACATGATTTGTCTTACACAAATGTTATCTAAATTGTTTATATGTTAATACACTCATACAGGTTGAGAAAATCATGCCTTACAGGAGAATGAGTTATTTAAATTTTGAAATAATAATTTGCAGAATAATGCAAGTTTTAATAAAGTTGAATGGTCAGAGCAATTCATTAAACATTCTAATTTATAATTATTAGGATGATTTGAGAATTTTGAATCAATAAACTTTTTACGACGAGAATTAAAACAGTGAAATTCAAATAAGTAATGAAATTCATCTCCAAGAGATTGTTTTTGACATAAATGACATATTCTTTGATTTCTTTCAATATGTAAATGTCTACCCTTCTCTTTAGGTAATAGGTGGTTCATAGTTCTGAATTTACAAAGTATTCTACAGAGATTGAAAGGTAATCTATCTAAGCATTTCTCGAAACAAAAATCTTTCTTATACACACGATAAATTAAACATTTAGGGGATTCATTTCTGGTTCCTTTCCAATTCTATAAGAATTGGTCTTTCAATCTCTGTTTCACAATAGTTTTAAAACTAGCTCATCAAGAGTATTTTTTAACAAATAAGATCCAAGTAGAGATCATAACAGTATTAACATGTAAAGAAAGAATTGTATTATACAAGTAATAATCAATCAATAGCTTCAAAGAAAATACATGGCCAATAGTTCCATATTGTTTACGAAAGCCTGCTTGCTCTTCATTAAGTAGATTGTGATTTTCTAAGTAAGCATCGAGTCGCTCATTTAAAATATTAGTGAGTCGCTCATTTAAAATATTAGTAAATAGTTTTCTTAAACAATTAAGTATAGTAAAACCTCTATAGTTATTGTGGTCACATGCATCTTCTTTATTTATATATATATATATACATTGTAGTACACGATCAAACTAAATTAACTTCCGTATACATTGTCTAATACGACATCAACATGTAAAACATTATCACATAAGCTACAAATCAAGTGAGTAATATATAAACATATTTTTTTCCATTTTCTTTATTTAAGAAAAGTTTAATGTCTGGATATTTTCGAATGACCTTATGCTGTCTAGTAAATAATTTCAGTCTTTTGTGTCATTGTAGGAAAATGTGCTTGCAAAATGAGAATCATTTTTTAGCCAAACAAAATTAAAATTACTTGTCCTTTAAATAAGAAGGGCTTTTGCTATGGTATACTTTATGAATGTGGTTATGTCTTAACTGCCTAACTAGGGCTATTGTTATAGAATAGTTTATAAATGTGGTTGTCTTTACTGCCTAACTAGGGCTTTTGTTATAGTATAGTTTATAAATGTGGTTGTCTTAACTGCCTAACTAGGGCTTTTGTTATAGTATACTTTATAAATGTGAGTGTCTTACCTGTCTAACTAGGGCTTCTGTTATAGTATGCTTTATGAATGTGATTAAGTCTTAACTGCCTCATTATGAATGTGGTTATGATCTAATTGCCTAACTAGGGCTTTTGTCATAGTATACTTTGCCTCAACTGTCTAACTAGGGCTTTTGTCGTAGTATACTTTAGAAATGTGGCCTGACTAGGGCTTTTGTTATAGTATCCTTTACGAATGTGGTTAAGTCTTCAGCCTTTTATATTATAACTCCCCGTGGACAAGGGGTTTACACATTCGCTTAGGAAGCGAGAGGTCTGGAGTTCAAACTCCAGTACAGGAAACTGTTTTTTTTTATTTTTATTTTTTTATTTTATTATTATAATTGTTTAAGCCAAATAAACATTGAATTGAATATCTGTGTTGCAATTAGTCTTATAGCCAATTTACTTTAGCTATAACACTGGAAACAGCAGTGGTGACACTATACAAACAAATTGGTTTATAATCTCACAACCATCACCTTTCTGACATTCTGAGAGCCAAACAAATTCAAGTAATTTGTTAAAAATAACTTCAAACTTTTTTTCTGACAAAAATAGAAAGAAATGTTTAACTTTCACGTATAACGGTATTTTGATACTTTTTCTAATGCTTATGTAAAAACCGGTTTGATTGCATGTAATAATAATAAATATAATAATAATAATAATAATAAACACTTTATTTCATGAAGGTAACATATTAAGAAATACATATCTTATTGGCAAAATGGCCTTCAATTAAACAAGATAATGAAATTTACAAATATGTACACACATCCACTCATGAAATGTGCATAAAACTATGTTCTTGGTCTTCAGAAATGTAGCACATTCAAGGTAAATATTCTTATTGTTATCATGTTTATTTTTGTTTATAATTGTCCTTAAAATATAAACCTGGAAGTGTACTTTCAAATGGTTCATCATTTTACAATGTGAGCTTTGTTGTTACATGAATTTTGGCCTACTTTCACTTTTGACAGACTTAGTGAAAACAAACATGGCTGACAAAGCATAGTTTATTGAACAAGTTGAAATCATATTATGTGAGCCTCTGGCATATGTATCACATATTCAAAATAACGACGCTTTACAGTAAAAAAGAGCCATTTTTCATTGACGAACCAACGATATATAATACGCTAACTTTTGCGCGCTATAACGCTGTGTTTGTATATATTTTGTATACATGTATGTTTACACAACTACGGCTACTTTTATGTGTTCAATCACTCGCCCTCGTAGCACCTGACTACGTTTATATATAAATTTCATGAAAATCTCGCGTTTTCATTATCATTTCCTTCCTATAAGCTACTATCGTTTATTTAAAGATGCACACACAAACAATTTTTACCGAACATCTCTCTGGTACTACATTTTACTGTACAATACGGGAATATATTTGGACAGTTAACAGATTGAAGTCATATTGGAAAAGCCGATGTTGGCGAGTCCAAATATATTCTGTATTGTACAAATGTATAATATCCTTTTTTATTATATATCTTTCGTTTAATTTGAAATATCTTCATCTTCAAACCACCACCAATATCACCATTCACACCACCAGCATTATCAGCAACAAAACCACTACCACTATCATCAACACCACCACTACCACCATCATCAATAATAGCCCTGTGACCCCTGTCAAAATTGTTTTAGTGCACGTGCACCAAACCGTTCAATATGAAAATAATATACTTTTCGGATCCAATACGAGAATATATTGGACGGTCACGAGGTTCAAATGCAGATTGTCGATCGCTTGGATTTATTATATATATAATAATTACCGGTATTTAAATGCTAATTGTAGATACCACCATTATATAAGATGTTGGGAACTGTGACCTCCGCCACCTTTGCATAGGAATCATCGTGAAGTCGGCGGTACTCCTGACTCTCGACCGCCTCTGGGAAGTCGAGGGTCTGGAGTGCACCTGGCACGGCCTGGGGTGCGTGTCATCGCAGGAAGACCTTACTGGAGCTTCTATGCCCCATGCCGTGCTCTAGTAGAGTTCAGGTCCTAGATAGAGTAGGCGTAGAACACCAGTTCCCTCCGATCTGAAAACTATTATAAAGTATATTCAATTCAGTTACATAATAAAGCACTTGTTCAAAAGAGTTCAACTTTAACGGGAGGTAAATGCAATTTTGTTATCTCCCTTCATCTGCCATATGGGCACTTCAATTCAAGTATTCATGGACATTTCTATTCTATTCCCTATCTTTTTTGTTGTTGTTAAGCATTAGACTTCTCCATTTATACCTTGGAAATGATTTGCATGTTTACTGAAATAGTATACTCATTTTGCTCACGCACTATGATACTATGCTTTTTGTTTAAGTATGTTAATATTACAATTGAGCAGTAATCGTCAATTTAATATCTTTAGGGTCTTTCAAATAGAACGGTCTGGAAACGCGCTATGTAAACATTTCTCGCTACAATTAAACATGTCTCGGTATAAC